TTCTACACTGCATAATATTGGAAGTGGAATATTGGTGCTGCCAACCAATTGACTTTTGAAAGTTCCAACAGTATGGAAGTGGAATCGTGGTGCTGCCCCCCCACCCCCCACCCAATTGATGTTTGAACTTCCAACTCAATGGATGTGCATGTGCATGCATGCACAGGTATTCCAGGTGCGATTACGTGCATGCAGCTGGGCTGATTGTTAGTTGTGAGTCATTGCTCTGCAGACTGGTAGCATAGAGCAGTGATCCTGCTAGACAATTCAGTTGAATACAACTGAACTGGATATAGCAGAAGTGAGTCTTGAAGAAGCAATAGCGCTGAGCCAGCAGTGTTAGCCATGATTGTGAATACAATTCTTTCTGAAGAAGACCCGTATTGTTGAAACATCAACCCAGTCCTGATCACTTCAGCTATCCTTCTGTGCAATTGTATGGTCACTTTCTCCACATGCGAATGTGCAGGCATTCTGTTCGGTCCTGGCATAAAGAAAGTGCATGAAGCAGGGATTATTATGAGCCATTGCTATGCAGGATGTTGGCACAGTGCAGGCAGACGAAATCAATTGAATGACAATAATTTGAATCAGGTGTCATTCTGTAGCTTAGGGGCAGACAGAAACATCTAGACGCAAGCTTGAATTGTTCTGCACACACAGCTAACTTAGTGTGGCTTCCTTTAGTATCCACTGCGCATGAGCTCGCTTACCAAGGCTGGGCAGAATTTCTGCATAGCTGCATACACAAAATTTAATAAGATTGAATGCAAATTGTGTAAATTCAGATATCTGCTTCTTGTCTGCAAACATGCGTCAATAAGCCCTGGCAGTTTGCCTAATTTATGAGCTTGTTGAATTTCCGCCTTGTGGTCAACTACAAGACGTCCCCGCTATGATGCACACAGTGCAGACTTGTTCAATTCTGGAACATAAGTTGTACACTGGGGGCAAGGCAGTTTAATACATGTAGTTGGTTGTGTGAGCGAGCATCAAATTCTGGCATTAAGTGCATCATGCATCACGGCAGCGGCGTGCATGTGCAATTCAGCATTGGCCGAAGGACATCCCCCCCCCCCCCCCCCCCCCCCCGGCAGATGCACTTAGTGTTCTGGGATCTGCCCAAACATAAATGCCGTGCATTGGCGACTAGTACACCGTGTTGAATACAATGGGCACGAGTAAAAGCAGATCTGAGATCGGATTGAATAATCCAACCATGTTACTTCCAGACTAGAGAATAACAATAATGATACGTGTTAGCGTGTATACTGTCCAGGACAGATCACAGTCAGCACATACGCCCACGCATGCACACTGACATGTTAACAGTGTTGCAATCTAGGCAGGTTGCAGTCATAGGGGTTCTGGAGCAGAGCAGCAATAGCATACATACTGTTTGCTGAACATAATGCTGTGTTTACTCATACCAACACAGTGTACCTGCTAAGCTGCGTACTAGCAGGATGTGATAGGCAGTATTTTTCATGTCTAGTTTGGATGAATCAGCACTGGATATTCCCATCCCGCATGGAAGAGCTAGGTTAGGTGTGGTGAAAGCAATCTCTGGTGACTCCATTGTGGCATTTGTTGCTGGTGTGTATGTATGTGTCTCTGGACTGGAGGAAAGGTTCCGTGTGCTTTAGCTGGAAGTGGACTGATGCAGGGAGAGGTGAGCATTGTGTAAGTCATACTGCAGTTATTTCGACTCCATGCCCTGCACTAAAGAACTCATCCGATCCCCTTTCCAGCCATGCCCTTGCGCTGCGTTGACCAGTGAGGTCTGAGGTCATCATAAGATCCTGCTCTGCTCCGGGACCCTGGGGACCGATCCCCTTGCCTCCTTCCCAGGCACCCACACACTCTGTTCCCATCCCGGCGGAGGTAGGATCAGTTCCAATGACATCTTCACTTGTTTCCAATTTGGTTATGCATTTACTAGCACTCGGTACCTTCGAGTTGTGGAAGTAAAATGAAAATTTGTGCACTACATTGTTGACCAATGCTTGTTGCAGTCTCTGATAGATCAGCCCCCACCACCACCAACAACAACACCACCACCAACACCACCTTACAAATCCATAATAATTATGAAATTTGGATAGTTGGCGTGACATTTGAGCAGTTCACGTTTGATTTTGCCTACAGCAACGCGTCTGATAAGTGCTTTCCAACACCAACCTGCGAAAAACATCTCCAGGGAGACACTGTCAAAGCCTCTGTGGTGCTGTGGCTGTATGCCTACCGTGTTGTGTCTATGTTTGTCGTGCGGACATTGAGCACTCTAAACAGCCTACTAACACAGACGGAAACACTTCATGTTGCCTTTGTTATCTTTCTAGGATAGCAGCGGAGCAACGGAATGAAGATTGGAGTTGCAAGAAACCTTAGCAATCAATGAAGAGCAAAACCGGCAGACAACCATAAACAATGTTGCTCAGCTATGGGTGCTGTGGTGCCACAATAGCAGCTTCATTGATGTGTTTTCTTCTCGTGCTTGCCATGGTTCCTGCGACAGTTGTTGGTAAGATTTCTGGGCTGCACTAGACAGGCCCTGGAACTGGTCCAGTTGGTCAGCGCGTCACCAACCAACTTGTTGGCCATCAATGTATTTTTACTGCTGAGGAGGTTCGGTTGGCGCGTATACAGTCTACTTTGCGAATAACGACATTTGGCGGGGCATCAGAAAAGTGTCCTTATTCGCGGAGTGTCCTTATACCCGAAGTCCCATTTGAATGTATGTGAACCCATATTTTGTACAGTATGATAATGCATATCAAAATGAAGCTCTTTTCATGCTCTATGCCAATGTATACGTTATTTTTATATTAACCCTTTGAAGTCCATAGCTTTTTTGCTTCCTCGGAATTTGTGGCAGTGACGAAAATGCGCACTCAATTTGAAACATAACTTTGGTTCTACTTCACCGATTTTTAAGATCTTGGGCTCGTTGGAAGGCTCTTGATGAGAGAAATACAATGAGCGCAAACTCGCCAAGAGCAATACTCATTGTCCGCCACAACGCGCTCCAAATGCGAGTCCAGTTCCAGATCTGAGACGAAATCGGTCTCCTGTAGCCATTTCACTGAATCTACAACTACTGTAGCTAGGAACTGTTCAAATTTTTCGAGTAGAAGCTTTTTTTGTACTTGCCGTGACTTCGCGCCGCGCCGGTCCTGGCACGTGCCGCCTGTCATGAAGCTGGGAAAATCCCTTTTTTCACGCACTGCTGACTCGTACTCGCAGCACGCAGCGCAGAAAATTCAAAATGTTCGATCGCTCGCCGCTCACTCAAACGTCATCGAAGAGACTTCGGACCTGTTCGACGCGATAGCTGAGAGTTTTCTCTACCACCTAGACCCTTTGATTGTTGAATTCGGTCAAGACTTGGTCGAGAACCGAAAGTTTGACTGCACCCACATGCATACAAAATGCCCATGGTTCGAAATCGAATCATGGACTCCAAAGGGTTAAAATAATTGAAAGGAACTACATGTATATGCAGTCAATATGGAAGGGAAATAGATTGAAAAATTAGCCTTTGGAGCCATCTACAGGGGCATGGACAGGTACATGTACATGATGATTACTGTACAATCATGTACAAATGTAGCTGTGCTGATTACTCCAACGACATGTAGTTCGTGACTTGGCTTTTTGGCCCCATGCCATGGGGCCAAGGTTGCGGAAAAGTTGCGAAATAGTTCGCGAAAATGAAGAAAGATGCGAAAGTTGCGATTTCTTCCTAAACAACGAAAAGTTGCGAAAAAAGTGGCGAGCATCTTTGGGAAAGGGCTAATTGGGCCACGACAATTCGAACGCCCTCTAAGAGTGCATGATGGCGACTGGTGAAGGATGTAGTAATGAAAAGATCATCGGACCCACATTTTTATGATATTTACAATGCACCGCCATTGTGCGCCGCCATTTTGGCCGCTACTTGAGTTTTCCGGAACGGCCGGCCGGCCCAGATAAAGAGCAGCCGCGGGCTTGCTGATCACAATGACGATGGGTGACAAGGCGGAAACCTGGACTGAATGCCCGTCATGGCTGTGTTTTGTAAGTATAGACGGGAAATGTCGGTGTTCGAAGCAAGCCAATACCACCACGCCACTGTGACGCTAGTCCTCGGCATCCAAGATTGCCTCATTGACATTGCCCCCCCCCCCCCCTTGCGCATCATCAAATGTCACCTGCTGAAATCCCACACATCCACGGTTTTCAAGTGGTCTTTCATCTACACTACAGCGCACTCGCGATAACACGTGAACACCATGTACACTGTCTACAGGACAGTAGTTGATCTACTGAGCAATGCATGTAAACGCACGGAAAGGTCTGCACTACAAGCAGGAAGTACTTTCTTGTCCTTGACTTTTCTTTTCCCTACACTCCGCAGAACATGAGCATGCTTGCTGCTGAGCTGACCACTGGGTCATGGATCGCCAAGTGGAGCCCGTCAGTCACTCAACGCTAAAACTTTTAAAAGCGAATCATAGAAACTACGGATTCTGAGTCCGACCTGAAGCGGTATTATAGTGTAGTTGCAGGGTGGTGATCTGATCAAGCACTGGACACATCTGCTAAGACTGACAGCTTACCTACCTGTATACAGTCTGTATCGGCTATAGAGTGACCGGATATAAGAATATATCGGCTACAGTGATATTAATAGCAATGAAAAGTATGAATGCCGCAGACATCACCACGCAACATGACAATTTGTTCAAGGTTTGGTTTTGTGTGTTTCCAAAATCGATTTTCACGTTCCGATCATCAGTGGAAATACGGAACTAAAGATATTGGTACGAAATATCAAAAGCAAAACGTATTTTATCCAGTAAAAATATCACTATAACCAATATTATCGGATGTAATGACATATCGGATATTATGATGGCAACAAAGAATCAAAACATGCATGACACGCTATATTACCATCGGCTATAGTGATAACTTTAAAATACATGTACTTCAAGTAGCAATAATATCAAAGACCCTATTTTTTTACTTTCTTCACGTTGCTTATTTTTATAGTAATACATGTACATGTACATAACAGAATTTTTTTTGGAAATGCGGGCACTGTCAACTATGCAGCATGCTCATTTTGTCAAAACGCCATGCTGGAAGTATTTCCTTGCCTTTCATGTGTCGATGGAAAAAAGAAAAAGAAATCGATTGTATCGCATATAGTGATGCATCGGTTATAGTGATAAAATCACGGAAATCAAACGGGTACGCTATAGCCGATACAGACTGTACCTGGTGTCTGTGTATGGACGTGATACGCTAAACTGTAGACAGTGGCATGCCTTTGTTTTTAGTCAAGCGCCTCGGAGAGTTTTGTTTCTCCTGAGGCTGATTATTTCCTGTTTCGGACACAAACTGCAGGAAAAAAAAGCTGAAAGCGGCAGTAGCCGGATAGCAATTTCGCAGCGTCAGAAAGATCCGAAACTGGCGAGCGTGTGACTGTGAGGCCATCTGGAGAGTGCTGGGACCAGGACGCAACGCCTCAGTAACACGCACCGCTGAGTACAGCACAGTTTCAATACTCAATCTTGTTCCGCCTGTCCGAAACCGAGAAAACAAAGGTAAACGATTGTACTACCGGTGGTGCTAGTGCATACTTGTAGAACTAAACTAACTATCTTGCTTGTTTGTATAATTATTTTGATCCATATGGCTGTTTGCCTAGGGGTGGCGGTGTGAACCCGACTTAGCCCTCTGCGGCCATCCGACTCCGTGAGACACGCTTGGTGTGACGCGTGCGGCCCGCAGCACACACGTCATAGCAAGCAAAGTAATTCATTAGTCTGTAACCAACACACCACGTGGCCACGCCGGGATACTGAGTACGTAGAAATCAGCAAAGAATCAACGTCCCAGCGTGTCGGAGTGTCCCAGCGTGTCGGAGTGCGCAAGTCATCGAGCTCGATTATCAATCAGCCTCAGCCCGGCCAGGACATCATCATCATCTCCGACTTGTGTCCACGGAATGCTGTAAAGTGAGCGGCGTGCATGGAGAAACGGAGAAGCCAGAACCTTTAGTCCTGATGACCAGACGATACATCACGGAAATAGACCACATAGCCTGGCATCGGTGATGTTCCGTTGAGAATAGCGGACATATCCAGTTCAGTTTTCGTTGTCTTTGTTCCAATCAGTTCGTCTGCAGTCATGGAGTATTGTGGCGAATTGCTGTTGCTACTCCTGCTCACAATGTCGTTCATAGTTTCCGTTATGATGATCAAAGAGTGTCAAGTGGATGCCAACGTAGTACCAAGTAAGTTGAGCATAACAACACAAATAACTACAATAATATAATCATCTCTGCGCTGAGTGTGTGTGTGTGGGGGGGGGGGGGGGGGTTAGGTGTGCATGATATGTAAGTGTACATATAGAGCTTTTCAAGGTTGAACCAACGGTCACGTTTTGGGGTCAGGTGCGAGAAATCTTTAATTTGCTAGTAAACAGGCGAAGCCCAGTTCAAGTTTACTTTGTACTAGAATGGATGCATGGAGGAGGAAGCAGCAGTAGAATAATGCTCCACTTGATGTCCGACACTCGTGTTGAGTCAGAGCAGTTGCCAGGAAGCCCTTCATTGGTTTGCGGGAAAGGAACAAGCTTCAGAATCGCTCCAAGCGCTGGTGGAGACGAACCTGCCACATTTCGTATACTTTTCAATGCGTTTTGAGTAACTTTTGACATGCAACCTGTTCACTTTGATCTCGTGGTGAGCGCCCGGGCGGTAGCGGGAAGGGCATCCTTGAAAAAGCTCTATAGTGTGTGTGTGTGTGTGTGTGTGTGTGTGTGTGTGTGTGTGTGTGTGTGTGTGTGTGTGTGTGTGTGTGTGTGTGTGTGTGTGTGTGTGTGTGTGTGTGTGCGCGTGTGTGTGTGTGTGTGGTATGTACACCGGTGATTGGTAGGTGAAACGAATCATCAGGGTGATGCTCTGCTTCCAAATCTTCATTGCAATGTGTATGAATCTACATGTACATGAACACAGACATATCACGCCAGGTATCCAACATCACATACTACATGCAGCAGCAGCACAGTAGAACAGTGGAACAGTAGAACAGTAGAACAGTAGAACAGTGGAACAGTGGAACAGTGGAACAGTGGAACAGTAGAACAGTAGAACAGTAGAACAGTGGAACAGTGGAACAGTGGAACAGTGGAACAGTAGAACAGTAGAACAGTGGAACAGTAGAACAGTGGAACAGTGGAACAGTAGAACAGTAGAACAGTGGAACAGTAGAACAGTGGAACAGTAGAACAGTGGAACAGTAGAACAGTAGAACAGTGGAACAGTGGAACAGTAGAACAGTGGAACAGTAGAACAGTAGAACAGTGGAACAGTAGAACAGTGGAACAGTGGAACATTGGAACAGTAGAACAGTGGAACAGTAGAACAGTGGAACAGTGGAACAGTGGAACAGTAGAACAGTGGAACAGTAGAACAGTGGAACAGTAGAACAGTGGAACAGTGGAACAGTAGAACAGTAGAACAGTGGAACAGTAGAACAGTAGAACAGTGGAACAGTGGAACAGTAGAACAGTGGAACAGTAGAACAGTGGAACAGTAGAACAGTGGAACAGTGGAACAGTAGAACAGTGGAACAGTAGAACAGTGGAACAGTAGAACAGTGGAACAGTAGAACAGTGGAACAGTAGAACAGTGGAACAGTAGAACAGTGGAACAGTAGAACAGTGGAACAGTAGAACAGTGGAACAGTAGAACAGTGGAACAGTAGAACAGTGGAACAGTGGAACAGTAGAACAGTGGAACAGTAGAACAGTGGAACAGTAGAACAGTGGAACAGTAGAACAGTGGAACAGTGGAACAGTGGAACAGTGGAACAGTGGAACAGTGGAACAGTGGAACAGTGGAACAGTGGAACAGTAGAACAGTGGAACAGTAGAACAGTGGAACAGTAGAACAGTGGAACAGTAGAACAGTGGAACAGTGGAACAGTGGAACAGTAGAACAGTGGAACAGTAGAACAGTGGAACAGTAGAACAGTAGAACAGTGGGGCGCAATCACATTCCAACCCCAAACACAAGCAGAAACATTCGACAGGAGTAGCAGGGGCGTCGGACACAGTACGGTCACTACGGTATATTAACCGTACCACTTTCTGCCCCAGGTACCCCGTGAAGCAATATAATGCACTGATTTGGGCTCTAAATTGCCACAATTTTCATCTCAGCCACCCCTCCCCCATGAGTAAATGATACTTCAGATGTCTGACCTTACCACCCTAAAATACCTTCCGACGCCCCTGAGCAACATTACAAATGTTGTCACATTGGACAAATGTCCAAAGAGCTTTCAGAACTAAGATGTCGTGACTTCGGCTCAGTCGGCAGAAATAGCAGGCAGCAACCAGCAAAAAAAGTGCAGGACTGCTCAATGAAATTATTATTATCACTAAAAGAATGTCCGCGTAGGTGGCGGGGGTGCCACTTTCGCTTATGCCATTCAGGATTGATGTCTGAAGAGTAATACAATACAATGAAATGACGTTGACAAAAAGCCGTTAGCAACAATACCAATCGGCCTAATGGAAAACTTAATTGAAATTACAAAAACAATAGAATATACATACCTACAACATGTACAAAAGTACAGCACTGCTCAATGCAATCCAGTCGCATCACTCAAGTACTCGCCGGGCGTTGCACTGCCCTACACCTGCGAACACTGGGCTGCGGAATGGTGCAAGGCGCGTACTTGAGTGACGCGACTGAATTTCGCTGAGCAGCACTGTACTTTTCCATCAGATTTGAAGTACTTGATTAGAGTCCTGTATAACATAACCTCGGATTGGCGACCAACTTTTCATAAATAGGATAGATGTCTGTATTTTGTGGCAAAAATTAGGGGGGGGTGCGGCTTGAAATCCATTGTGGAAAAATCCGGGTCGAGTTCAGCCCGGGTTGAAAGTCTATACAATGGACAACATAGGTGGGCGTTTACATGAAGACAGTTGACCCGTGTCAAATACTGATATGCCGCCAAAAGTCCACTTCTAGAGTCCTGTTTGGTCACGTGAATACTTTAGCGCGAAATTTGCCTGGCGCGAGATACGCACAGAAGTACTGTCATACGATTTCTCGATTTCAACACCCCCCCCCCCCCCCAGTGTGCCAACACTAAAACCAGGTTTATATGCCGATATATGTATCTTGAAAATCAGGTTTGTATTCAAACAGACTTCAATAATTATGAGATGGGCTTTAATACAGGACACTATGCTACACTGCAGACTTAGTTACCATGGCACCCGTCCAGTATTAAACATTGTCTGCAACATGAGCAGCGCAGAGAGCTATTGACGGAGGCTGGGACAGCACTACCCGCATTTTACGGAGTATAAGCCACACTGGAGTATATGCCGCATTGGAGTATAAGCCATACCCCCCACCCCCATATTATTGCCGTGAAATACAGACATCTACCCCATTTATCACCGTTAATTTGGTCATTGGAGTACAAGCCGCAACCCCCCCCCCCCACTTGGGGGGTGAAATTTGAGTGCCCAAAATGCGGCCTATAATCCGGAGAAGAAGTATGGTAGTGCATTTTCTTAATGATGTCATAGTGATGGTAATGATTTCATAGTGATGAGAATATTGTCATAGTGATGATAATGATGTCATAGTGGTGAGAATGATGTCATAGTGATGAGCCGGCACATGCAACCCTAAACATTTCGACCTAGGTTCAGCATGCACGTTGTGACCATGAACGACATGCACCAGCCATCGTACACATACATCGAATGCGGCTGTGCCCCCCCCCCCCCCCCCCGTAAAGGGGGGACCAGCTACGTACACCCCTGGTACTATTCCGAAATACCATCCGACACCCCTGTGTGTGTGTGTTGTGTTTGCTGTGCAGCCAACTCCATTATGTGCGCGGACGGTCATACCTATGTACACTATGACGAAGAGCAGTGCGACTTTGAAGGCGCTGAGGCATTCTGCAAGTACAGGAATGCCACTCTGCCTCTTCCGCTGGATCAAACCATTGACTCGTGTATCCGGGGGCTTGATTCCAGAAACAACAGACGCTTTTGGCTGGGTTTCATGCGTATTAGTTCGAGCCAGGACTGGAGTGCCGTGCTACCGAACATTGTGGGCGTATCTGATGACCTCAGGGGGAGTAACGACAAATTATGCGTTCGTATCCACACCAGGGACGTAGAATGGAAGGAGGAAGAGTGCAATAAGGAGAACAACGTGAACGCTGTTGTCTGCGTCACAAGTAAGCTGCAGAGATTCTCATTTCTCCTCTTGCGCCTTTTCAGGTGCGCGTCGATGTGTCCAAACCAGCCTCATCTGAAACCGTCCTGTTTATTTGTTTGTCTGTTTGTTTTTGATCCATTTTAGTTCGTTGCCTCAGCAGTACATGTGTACAACTTCGAAGAACAGGAAGCGACTCGAACATGGCTCGAACAGGAAACAAAATGACTAAGGGTCATCACAGAAACCGTCGATCAGACTGCAGGCTTTTCCCTGGGATGTCTGCCGAACGCTAGGAGGGTGGTGTGTTCACTCACCCCACCGTTAAGCACTGCATCTGCCGCTAGGGTTTACCGGGTGTTAGCGGCCGTCGTGAGTTCCCTCCGTAAACGGACACGATAATTTACTTTTCCTGTAACAAGTTGTGGGTTGTTATCCTATTGGGACACTTATAGGGTAAGGGAATATTTTAAAAAAAACAAAAAAAGTCGGCGTGGAGAAAGCAATTTAATTACCTTAAAAGTCCGTAAATATGTACCTGCCCGAAAGAAATACCCCCTTCATTCTTTAGGCTCTGTCTGTTGAAGTCAAGTCAAGCCCGATAAACATACTGCCCGAAATAAGTACCGGTACGGTTCGCACATGCAGCACGTAGCATGTACATCGACATGAAAATGACTTCTCCACTACACACACGTCAGGTCCGAAAGTTAGTTCGTGCCCGAAAGTCAGTACCCGCCCGAACGTTAGTACGGGTGTGGTCACTAAATTCGAGAGTAAATACGTACTTATTTACGGACTTTTACGGTAGAGCAATTATAGTACAACGCTAAGGTTTACCGGGTGTTAGCGGCCGTCGTGAGTTCCCTTCGGGAACGGACACGATAATTTGCTTTTTTTTTAATTAGAGTACAATGGATGAAGACATGGCCACGCAACATAACGACGGTGTAGACTACTATTGAACTCGGATGGTGAGATTGTTAGTATTATTACTAGCGTTCTAAAATCTAGATTTTCGCGTTCAAAAAAGAAAGAAATTTTAATTGACCGCATTATCGGACATGTTGAAGAAAACATCAAGCAAAGGCATCACATCAGCGGCCCACCACTACGTCAAGATAATAAATACACCATCCCCCTTATCTTGTGTTGTTTCAGAATAATATTCTTCTTTTTCTCAGTTTTCTCACTGTGTATTCACTGGCTGTAACGTATGACTAAATTAAGATTTCCCATTTGTACAAGCAAGTTCCATTTTACCCTGGGTGTTCCGGATTGAAGTGGCTTGCCTCAGTTATCTGTGTTACTTGGAGAGAGAGAGAGAGAGAGAGAGAGAGAGAGAGATGGGGAGAGAGAATTGCAAAGTGGTGTCTAATGCTTTAAGAGCAGGGTTCTAGCCAAGGGGGGGGGGGTACTCTGTTTGCGCCCCCCCCCCCTCCCCCCCCCCTGTCAAAAAGTGCCGCTCCTACTCATTTGTCGATTTTGTGTTCTTTTCATGTCCTTCAACGAGAATGCAGTCGATAGTCACTACTAGAGGGTTCCTAAAGGCACATTTGTCTGGGGTGAAGTTGGGGGTTCGCCCTGTACATTGTGCATTATGCATGGCATGCCCCCCCCCTACTCTTTTGACCTTGCTAGAGCCCTGTTCCAGAGGCATCTTCGTCCTAGCACAAGTGTGATCCCATTGGTTATCCCACTGCCAAGTCCCGGCTGGAGAGAGCCACTATTCAGAAGCAAAATGAAAAAAAAGCACCCCCCCCCCCCCCCTGGCTGCATTTTCTTGCATGTGTGCCTTTATCCATCGCCATGGGTTCTGGTGCTTCTGCATGACAGGTACTTGAATAGCTGTCAAAAGCCCAGAAAGTCGTTATTCAAGCAGTGAATATGACCTCGGGGCACTAAAAGCATGTCGTTATTCGCGAATTGTCGTTATTCAGATAGTTTTTATATCCGAAGTTAAATGTATACAGTTAGATGGGACTTTGCTCTGGGCATGGAAATTCTGTCGTTATTCGCGAATTGCCGTGATATCCGCAGTTGTTATTAGCAAAGTCGACTGTACTTCTGCCAGGATAGTGGCTGGGTTTATTGCCAATAGGCTTGGCTGCTTGAAAGGGCAATGTTGCACCTGCCACCTTTTTATCGGTTTCAGTGTCCTTGATCAATTATACTTTCTTTTCAAATTTCAAGTACATACCTGTTGACCAATGGCCAACTTCTGGATAGATAAATTCTTGTGTATCCAATGGTGTTCATGAAGCCATTATCAAATCCTCTCTGATCTAGCCACCCACACTAGTAGCAAGTATTACCTTCACTGGGCAAGGGGCAACTGCAGTTGGATCCTGGGACGGATACCTTGATGCCATCAATCCTTTTTCAGCACCTTGTCCGCACCCACTTACTGAGGTGCGGTGAGCCCACAAGTGGGATCATTTCCAAGTCCACCCATAGTTTGGGGATTTCAGGGGGTGTCGGCCGTTGGGTGCTTGAATAGCCGATTGGGTTATCTTTCCAAGATTCCCTTTGAATCTTTCTCCCTGCTGCGGGGAGACCCACATGACCAGTTTAAAGCCTTCAGTACTTAGTTAATTCGGATGGAGAGCCATCTCTTCTATAAAAAGTTAATTGTACCACAGCGCACGTGTGTGTGTGTGTTTATATACATGTGTGTTTGTATGTCTGTGTACATGTGTGTCCCAAGGCGTAAGCTTCCCTACAGACTGCCCGAGCGGATCCAGCTGCAGCACTACTGAGTCACTATGTGACACTGGCCGTAAGTACACGGGACATATCGTCAGGTACTACAAATTTTCATTTGGAATTAACTTTCGCTATATTCGTTAGGGGGCACGAAATAACTAAAGCTTGTACCAAACTAAAGTTTTTTCTGAACGTTCGGGATGACAGGCCTCGACCAAAAACGAAATTTTAGTACGTAATGAACCTGCTGGTGGATCAATCTAATGAAAGATTTCATGAACGAAAATTTGTACTTCTACACTGCATGTGAGGTAGACACGATCTGTTTGTTACCTGTTTACGGGCTCTTGCTCGGTTTATGTTTTGATTAGCGGGCTGAAATAGTCGTTACAGGCCCAGTGGAACCGGCATAATTGGTCAGGCCATGGCCGGACATACTTGTTGCCCACCAAATGTGTGTTTACTGCTGAGGAGGTCATGTGTACCCGGTATGTCATACCCAAACTGTATGAAATGATTTAGTATGGCCGGATGGTGGGCAACTTCAGCTACGAGTGCGTGTCAGGTTTTACTGGTACCGGTCGGATGTGTGCCGATATTAAAGAATGTGCCACGGGAAACGGTGAGTTGTCTGACACTGTGCTGGTCATTTACTGATGTGCGTCTGTTCATACATGCATGCACGTGTGCATGTGTGTGTGTGTGTGTGTGTGTGTGTGTGTGTGTTTGTGTTTGCATGCGTGCGTTTGTGCGCATGTGGGCATCAGCATTCATGGGTGTGTGCACTCATGTATGCATGTGCGTGTTTTGACGTCTTTGTAGTTATTTTCGGAATGCTAGACAAACCTGTTTGTTATCACAACTCGCAAGAGCGTTACATACATTTTCCATTCTGTTCTGTTTTCACTGTAGCTTGCTCCGTCAATGCCACCTGTAGCGATGTGGCGGGCTCGTTTGTATGTATGTGTTTTAGTGGCTACACCGGGAATGGCACCTACTGCCAAGGTGAGCAGGCAGGATTGTCCTATATTGGAGTGGGGCTGGGCAGGGTCATGCTTCAGTTGGTTGTGCAGGGTCATACTGCGGGGTTGGGCAGAGCCGTGCTGTGAGTTGGGCAGGGCGATACTGCAGGGTTGGGCAGGGCCATGCTGGAGTGGGGTTGGGCAGGGCCGTGCTGTGAGTTGGGCAGGGCGATACTGCGGGTTGGGCAGGGCCGTGCTGTGGGATGGTGTCATGCCGGGCCTAATCTCTCGAAGGTGTCAAGCTTTTGCCAAACTGTTTGTCTGTCTGTCTGCCTGCCTACCTGCCTACCTGTCTGCCTGCCTGCCGGTCTGCCTGTCTGTCCGTCTTTCTGTCTGTATGTCTGTCTGCCCACCTTCCCACATGCACATCTGCATGTTTGTGTTTGGATGTGTGTGTGTGTGTGTGTGTGTGTGTGTGTGTGTGTGTGTGTGTGTGTGTGTGTGTGTGTGTGTGTGTGTGTGCACATCTGTGTATGTATGCATATGACTATGTCTGTATATGTATGCATATGAGTGATATGACTGTGTCTGTATATGTGTGTATGTGTGTATGTGTGTATGTGTGTATGTATATGTGTGTGCACATGCATGTATGCATATGTGTATTGTAATCATTGTCTGCACCATGAGAGCAGATATTGACGAGTGCACACTGGGCCTATTGTCGTGTGGAGTGCGTGAGTCATGCTACAACACACTGGGTGCAGCGTATTGTGCCTGTGCACCAGGCTATGGAGGTGAGTTGGCAAACACTGCACTATTGTCTTTCTCAACTGCTCTCCCAATTTGTCAGAGTAGATTTCACACTGTAGGTTAGCAGCTTAGACGTAAGAACACTTTTGGGTGCACACTTGCCAGCACCTCTTTTCCAAGCGAGGCATGTACACGGTACTGTACTGTACTGTACAGACCATGCACCATACCTTCACTCTGCTTCAGTATGTACATAGGGTAGGTGTCTGCATCACGGTGGCGCGGGAACTTAAAACATTCTACAGTTAGGCTCGGTGAAATCCGACCCAAAGTGCAAAACCCGCACCCTGTACCAGTTCTGATTGACAAAAACTAACATAGCGTGTTGTTATGTCAGTTGCTATGCAGTTGCCATGGAAAAAGGGTATGATATTATTGGTTATTTTGACTTCCCTGCAAGCTTGCTAAACTGACAAAAATAAAAGTTAAGCCTCTCCACATGTTAAAAGAAATCACGGTACACCCAAAGTGGGAACCAAAATCATGAATTAACCCACGTGCATGCACGCATACGCACAACAAACTTCAAACAAACAAAACACACATACACACACTTACCCAGGCGCGCTCTTGCGCATGTACGCGCGCGCACACACACACACACACACACACGCACGCACATGCGCGTGCCCAACGCACAAAATGCCGACACACATACGCCAGGGAAATAGAATACAAGGTAGTGGGGTTTGCCATAGTTCTTTTTTTTTTTTTTTTTCTCTTCACATTTTGTCTGATACATTTTGACGAGACTGTGCATTGAGCGACACCGTGGATAACATTGAGCCAAGAATTATGTAATAAGCCAGCAGAGATATCTCAAATAAAACCATAGGTGCCCGGCAACAGCAATCGGGCGAGTCACAGCAATGTAGGCATTGCAACTTCACTGAGACAGATACAAAGTTGACCACCCATGCCTGGCAACTTCAAACAGGCGGGTCAACCACATGGTGGCCCGGCAACTTCAAACGGGAACACACCGATACAACAGACACAGTTGACCACCCATGCCTCCATTTTCGGCGGGTCAACCACATGGTGGCCCGGCAACTTCAAACGGGAACACACCGATACAACAGACACAGTTGACCACCCATGCCTCCATTTTCGGCGGGTCAACCACATGGTGGCCCGGCAACTTCAAACGGGAACACACCGATACAACAGACACAGTTGACCACCCATGCCTCAACCGGCGGGTCAACCACATGGTGGCCCGGCAACTTCAAACGGGAACACACCGATGCAACATACACAGTTGACCACCCATGCCTCAAACCGGCGGGTCAACCACGCAACAACATACAGCTGTTACAACACTGAGACAGTACAGCACACCACTGAGAGGCAAATGCATTTGACCCTCCCAAAAACCAGTGTTCACGACCAAGCATTTCTCACGGCGTCGCTCCTTAGCGTATGTCCTTACAAGTAACCATGGCAAACCCCTCCGTGATACAAACAAGGCTACAACGAAAGGACTGCACTACACTGCACAACATTACAAATGCACCTCACTTGTGTTCAAAGCACCACATGGGCGTGGGCTGTACCAGTCTTGCAGCTAGTCATTACAGGGACGGCATGCCGGCTGCACGCCTGACATAGCGATCGGATGCTGCACTTCGCCAGCGGCCTGCACGGCGTATGGCTGCTTCACTTGCTCCCCGGTCAGCCATGAGAGTGGCCCCGCCAATGCGCATAGAATGGGAGCTCACCCGGTTGCAGTTGAGGGCGTGCCTGAGGATCTTGGTCAAACAAGCTCGAGTGAGGTAGCTGCCGTCGACGAACACAAACACTGGCCGTGCGCTGCCGGTTGTAGCGGTCAGGGTCCGGAACTCGGCCATGGCCGACACTGGGCACGTAGAGTCTCCTGTGGTCACCACTTGGACTGTTCCTCCGTCGCCAAGCTGCTGTGTCTTGGTGACTTTTAGCTGCAGAGAAACCAAGCCGGATGATATACTGACAGCTTCCCAGAGCAGTGTTCTCTTACTGTCAAATGAATGAGGGGATGCAGCTAAAAACTCGTTGGCGCGCAACAAACCATAAAAGGCCAGTGTCACACTTGCCCACAGCATGGCGCGGTCTACAGTGGCATAATTAGATCTGTCAAGGTACAGCCGGAATTGAGCAAGATCGGGCATCGTCATCCCTCTTCGACTAGATGCCGGAGGAGATTGTCGCCTCTCAATCCCATGCAAAACAGAAGTCAAGCGGGCAGATTTGAGACTGCCAATTGGTGCGCCATTACAGAGCAAGTGGTATCTTACGGCAGCTAAGTACACACGGATAGTCGATAGCGACAGGCGTTTGGTAACAAAGAGGTCGGAAGCGAAGGATATAATATGTTCAGCGGTGAGGAAAAGAGGGGGAAAAGAATGGATTTGACAAAACTGTATGTATGCGGAAATACCGGGCTTAAAAGTCTGGGCCGTGGAACCAGAGACTGAGTCTCTGACGAGGTCATTGCTGGCAGCAATCAGAGCAGCGAGTCGACCGGAGGAGTTGGCACCGGGCATCGGCTGGCTGTGGGAGCCAGTTCTCGGAAGCGAGTAATCTGCAGGCGAGACAAAGCATCAGCAAGGCAATTATCAACACCGGCAATGTGCCGTAAAAACAATATGAAATTGCCAGATGCGGCCTGAGCAAGCAAGAATCTGATAATGTGCATTGCATTCTTGTTGCGGCATGAACCTTTCTGCCACGCTAAAACAGCAGCTTCATTATCGCAGTGAAACATAAGGCGCTTGCCTGACCAAGAATGTCCCCACACAGCGCATGCAAGAGCAATTGGAATCAGCTCACGAACCATAATCGGTTCATCCCGCATCTCAGCAGCCCATTGCCCCAAAAACCATTGTCCGTCGTAGAAGCCACCGAAGCCAACATCCGAGGCATCCGTAAACAGCTCGAGGTCAGGGGACTTTGACCACTGAACATCATGAAAGAATGATTTGCCGCTCCAGTTCGCCGCGAAGCCACACCACCAGTCAATGTCCAGGTGGGCTTCTGTGTCGATGTTGATGACTGACTGGAGGAACGGAACTGTGCAGCTTAAGTCAATGAGGCGGCGGATGAAGGTCCTGCCAGGAGGAACGACCTTGGCAGCGAAGGACAGGGTGCCTATCAGCGATAGCAGTTCCCGCTTCGTGCAGGTAGAACGCGTTGACCAGTCGCTCAAAGCCTCGAGCATGGCAGATAGCTTCTCCTCAGGGAGCCGCATCACCTGCTCCACGCTGTCAACCTCTATCCCGAGTACCGTCACCACTGTCGCTGGGCCGACCACCTTATCTGCGCCAGTGGCGACTGGAATGCCGAGGTTGTCGAATACCTGCAGAACCGTTGCTTTTTGAATAGCTGCTGTAGAGCGGTGGACAGATGAGCTACCGGTAGGTGGTGCGACTCCGATGTAATCATCGAGATAGTGCTCCAAGTCATGAATGGAATAGTTATGACGAAGAATCCAGCACACCGCCTCAGCCAGGGTGTTGAACAATGCAGGTGATGATCGCAGTCCAAATGGAAGCACCTTGTCGACGTAGTAGCGACCTTGCCACACCATGCCGAGCAGAGGCCAATCGTCAGGGTGCACTGGAACATTGCGGAATGCATGCTGGATGTCAACTTTGAACATTAGAGCACCCTTGCCATGACGAATAACGTGACGTACAATATCATCAACAGTCACATACATCAAGCTGTATTGGTCCTCGGAAATGCCGTCATTGATACTGCGTCCGGCCGGGGCGGAGAGGTGCACAATGAGTCTGTGCCCACCAGACTTCTTAGGCACGACACCTATGCCAGCTGATCGAAACGGCACGCAGGGTGGTGCAGGGAACGGCCCGGCAGTATGACCACGTAAGCACTCCTTAGCCAGGTATTCCGAAACAATGTCAGGAGTGTCAAATGCAGAAGATAGATTAGGACAGATAAGGGAAGTACGGGGACCAGTGTAACCCAGGGGACACGATAAGATTTCGAAATTGCTCTGACACAATGTCCTGCCACTTCTGGAACCGGTCGGACATGGCCGGACACTGTGATTTTTTTACAAGTCTGGTACTCAGCACTCATAATAAAAAATAATTATTATTATTGGCTACACGACACCACTGCATAATGCACACATGCATGTACCGGTACATGCTACATCACCCTGCGGTATACCGTATTGCTGGTCACATAAAGGATGATCATCACACTGATCTCAAGTATTGTAACACTGATTCAAATCGCTGTGCGTTTTTCAGCAAGCATAGTAACTGTGATATGAGCGTGCAGTGTTTCTGCACATTTCGGATTTGACCTGGTTTTTCAGCGGCAGATCGAAGACATTCATTTTTACGCAGTCGACAAAAGACAAAGTGGGCATCTGCTTGCCCATTCTAACTTCTTGTTGCCAACTCCAAGATCGACAACATGTCACTACTCGAGTTGGCTGAAGGCTCCCATCTTTGCAAACGCGATGTGCTCTTTGAACAGCACGTAGTTTCTACGCGACGTTGAACTTCTGACTTATTTCGCTGCTGCTGCTCTGTCGATCTTGCACAGCGCCTGTGCAACAGGAGCGTACTTGACTGGATTTGCAGAAGACTGCTCCTTTCGATAGAGGCATATCGCAAGCTGGCACACATTTCTGACGCCTTGTTTCCCTGGAACAGGGACGTTTTCAATATTTCGGATTGTACAAGCGCCTCGCGGAATAGTCCCTATTGTAGCAAGAAAGGAAGAAATTTCATTTCAAAACTCCTCGATCGTTTGCTACGCTCAAACTGGAGCTACACTGAAGTGGACAGCTCCCTGTCTTGCTGTAAAACCCTGTTGTCACAGGTTGCTGCTCTGACTTCGTGAGACTTCTTCCCAGGCAGAGCGCCATTGTCCTCAGCCGTTCTCTTTCCCAGCGACGCTATTTTGTGAATTTCGATCGGACAGATTGTCCGTTCAAGAAAAAAAGCGCCGGATTCGAATCGAAAATGGTCGGAAAATGTCCGATGTCCGACCGTTATCGTGTGCCCTGTAACCAATATGAAAACCGTGTGTTAAACCATGTATAAGTGCTGCTACCATTCCTCTATCGGGGTAGTTAGTGAGTTCGTCTGCCAAAGCGTCGACGTCCACTGGGGTGGACGGGCGGTGCTGCGGCAGCGGTGCATCCGAAGGCAAACTACTTGGCCTTGGCAAGGCCGGGGCAGCGGTTGGCTCCGTGTCCACTGGTTCCGCAGGAGGAGCACACGTGCCGGTATCGGCAGATGCGAAAGCTACACGTGCCTTTGTTGAAGGCGTCAGAGGTGTGAGTGGCGCTGCCGGCAGACTTCTGTGTTTGAGTCCGTGAAGTAGACAAGCAGGACGCAGCAACATGTCCATACTTGTTACAAGCGGAGCAAAATGACAGGGACTGACCGGTGAAACAACGTGTGTATAGGTCCATATCAATCTTGTCCCACTGCACCTCCGAGCAGCGTGACGCTCTCTGGCGGAACTGAACATCGTAATCAGCTACTGCCGCCCATCTGAACCGCTTGGCCGCCTGCAAAACCTGCAGTTGATACCCCCACAGCTCCTGAGACTTGGCCGGCTGCTGGTCAGAAATGATGCAACAGTAAGTCGTCCACGCCTCAAGCCACATGCTGAGGGACGCGATCTTGGGTCTCGCCGCCGATGCTGCTGTGACCACCAACTGGCCGTCTTGCTCGGAGAAGCGAATGCGCTTCTGAAGCGGTTCATCGGCGGAGGTGACGGGACCGGCGGGGGGCAACAGGCAGCTGAGATCAACAAATTCCCCCCTGAGTACTTTTGTAATAAACGTCATGCTCACATGGCTATAAACGGCAGAAGCTCGAGGCTTACCCGAGGCAGGCGTCGGGGACGAAGTTGCTGCTGCTGGTACAGGCACAGAGGGTGGGCTGGCCGTCACGGCTGGCTGGCGGTCGAGAAGGAGATCGTCAGGTCCATCCTGAATTTCGGGCACATCACGGACTTCGTCCGGCGCGTCCGCCGTCGGAGCAGGAGCAGGGGCTGTCAGCTGTGGCAAAGCTGCCGAGATGGACGCTGCGATCATCTCTTGCAGCTGCGCTGACTGCCTCGCAGTGAAGCCACCCCGCGACATTGTAAACCAAGAAAACACAGCCCTGGGCCACCTTGACCAACTGGCTGACAGAAATTGTTGACAAGGATGTTGCTTTGCTGACACAAGGCAAGGCAAAGCGGCCACGTAAACTTATATTTTTTTGCATCCGCCATTTTCGGAAAAATATTATTTTTTATGCATCAGGTGCACGTGCCGCGCGACGAACCCGGGACCAACGCGTGCATGCGTGGGCTAACTTGGCTTTGCTGCTCAAAGCCGTCATTTATTAAGGCACTTGGCTCATAGTCTAGTTTACTGACTCAGGACTGCCATCCCGAGCACACGAGTAGCCCGTCGAACCTATCACTCAGGTACGGTGCTTCGGGGAATTCACTCAACAGTTGAGCTTGAGTGGGCTTTCTTGCAGGCTTGCCAAGTGAAAGATTTGACGGGCTTCTCGTGTGCGCCAGATGCAGTCGCGAGTCAATCAAGTGTCAAGTCAGTCGGCAGGAATCCCGAGCTCCGACTTGGAGCAGACACTTTTGTCTGAAATACTGCCGAAGTCGCAACATCTTCAAGTGTCTGTTATAATGATTGTTATGCAATGCTGTTCTCGCTTCACATATACTAGCACCAGGGCGTCGGAAGGTATTAGAGAGGTTCCGGGGTACGATTTTCCGTGCCAAACTCCGTATGGGCGCTACGGATTTTTTCAAGGCATGCTCCATACGATTTTTCGGCACGGAGAATCCGTGTGGACTGGCTTTCACACGAACCATGTTTCGTATGGAGATTTTGCGTCGTCGGGTGCAGAAAGATTTTTCGCGTACAAATTTGGTACGAGAAACATCGATTTTACGCGGGAAGTCTTGATTTCAGTACAAATTTTCAAAATAAAAAGGCATAGCGCGGGAAGGTGATGTGTTTGCGATCGTAACCTAGGCAATGACGGCAAACACATAAGTTCCGTACTCCGGAACATTTCACTGCTCGAAAACGACGTATAAAAAATCCGTAGCGCCTCTACGGATTTTGGCAGGAAAAGTCGTACTCCAGAACCTCCCTAATTTAGGGTGGTACTGTCAGTCATCTGAAGTACAGTTTACTCGTGGGGGAAGGGATGGCTGAGCCGAAAATTTGGAAATTTTAGAGTCCAGATCAGTGTATTTTATTGATTCACGGTATACCTGGGGCAAAAAGTGGTACGGTCAATACCGTAGTGACCATACTGTGTCGCCCCCTGAGCACATAGCACTTTTTGCCTTGCAATGTGGCTGTCCGCAGCCGACCCTGCACTGTGGTTTTGCTGTTGCAAATGTGAGGTGTGAGAGAGAAAACACCTCGCGGCGACGGACGCAGTAGTGAGGGGAAAAACCGGGTGTATACAGTCAACTTCGCTAAAACAACTGCGGATATAACGACAATTCGCGAATAACGACAGCATTTCCATGCCCAGAGCAAAGTCCCATCTAACTGTAATACATATAATGAGACTTCGGGTATAACGACACTTCGCGAATAAGGAAACTTTTTTGATGCCCGCCGAGTGTCGTTATAAGCAAAGTTGACTGTATCTCCCATGGCAATTCGGCATCATGTCGGGATGGCAAGTACATCACGGCAAATATTTCTGAAAAGCAACTTTAAGATGCACATGAATGAAGGGTGGGAGGGCAGGGACGCTGGTGAGACTCAAAGCTGGCTGAAGAAGTAAGGAAAAGAAAGGACGATAAAGAACACACCAGATGCCATATTTGCAACCGAAAATGTTGCACAAGAAATCATTTCTCGCCTATCTCGCTGCGCTGGGCCGACGAGAAATACAACGTCCAGGCACTGCAGTGAAAAGTACTATTTTGCCAACCCTGCGCTATGGTATATGGGTCATGTGACCTTGTCTATACAGTACCGCGGTCATGTGACCTTGTCTATACAGTACCGCGGTCATGTGACCTTGTCTATACAGTCCCGCAGAAATGTGACCTTGTCTGTATAGTACCGCGGTCATGTGACCTTGTCTATACAGTACCGCAGTCATGTGACCTTGTCTGTACAGTACCGCGGTCATGTGACCTTGTCTATACAGTACCGGTACCTTGGCTGCCCATTTGCTGTCGACAGGTAGTTGCTCCGGCCATCTAGGCCTCTCGGCACAGCTATGAGCTTTTAGTAAGTCAAACTGGCGGCCACAGTGCAAAGGTGGCACCATAGATATAATTGTAGGTTGACTGTCCTCCTAAATTCCGCATTTCTAATATAGCTCATTGGTCTAGCTCCAGAGAACTCAAAACAGCGAAAAGTAGTGGGTGATGCATAGAGCTGCAGCACTAAAACAGCCCACCGAGAGTGCTGAACAAGGCTACAAACTGTACAGATTTTACGGCCACTGAAGTTACTGAAAACCCGGAGATGTCTGCAGGGCCTTGTCCAAATATAGTAAATCACAAACGATTGTAGGTTGCAGATCTTCTAAGGCCTTGCAACTGTAAAAAAAATGGTGCGCCTTGTGTACCGGAAAATACGGGACTGGTTTACGGACCTGGTAATGTCGACCCTAACACCCATACAGAGAACATCGTAAAAACAAAATCATAATGCTGGTTCAAGATCTGTACGTGGCTGCTTGATCATCTCATTATTTGTTCGGTCTGCAGATAATGGAACTGCCTGTTCGGACATTGACGAGTGTGCAGATGACATCAGCTACAGTAATGGCATTAGCATCACTGGCAGTGGCAGCAGTACTGACAACAGCAATATTAGCAGCAACTGCGGTGAAAACACCGTCTGCGTGAACACCGTACCCGGTTTTTTGTGCCAGTGTCTTGCTGGCTACGAGGCAGTCACACTTACAGCCTGTCAAGACATTGACGAATGTACTACCAGCTTCAACAGCAGCAGCAGCAGCAGCAACGCTACAGGAGTGAACAACTGCAGTGTCAACGCTATCTGCACAAACACTGTTGGCTGCTACGAATGCACATGTTTAAATGGCTACCATGGTGATGGTGTGACATGTCTTGATGAAAACGAATGTACCGATGGTCCACATCATTGTGCACTGCTCACAGCTACGTGCTACAACACAAATGGATCCTACACGTGTGAATGTATTGATGGTTATATGGGCAATGGCACAGTATGTGACATCTGTCCAGCTGGATTTTATGGTGAGTCTAGTGTACCGTATTTTCCGGAGTATATACCGTACTTTAAACATTCTTAAATCACCTCCAAAAATCTGATTCTGCTTTAAGAGAGCATGTCTGAGAAAACCAGAACATATGTGCAAGTCGATCTCTCAGATTTCGCTCAAATGTTGCAGGTAGGTTTGCTTTGGGGTGTAGATCGATATTCCAAAGCCCGCGCAAAATCTTTTGAAGGGAACCATGAAATTGGTATACCCCTCAATATTGGCCCAATATTGGCACAATTTATGGGTCTACAAACGAGCCACGGCACAGCGTACAAGAACAAGCTACGAACAAAACTCCATCAAGCCAACATTACCTCACCTTAGAAGAGTTCTTGGGGCAGCAGCACTTAGCCACGCCAGCATCCCAGAAGACGATGGCAATCATCCCTTGACGCCACAAATGATTGTCTTGAAAATAGCCAAATTACAAGCGCTGATAAAACAGCGAGCTACATCCTCAACTAGCAAACACTATACACCGGCAGATAGTAGAACACCTCTTCTAGCACTGAGGACATGTCCCCCATCATCCTTTTTGGGTTTTCTTGAAATAAACAATTTTGAATTTTTCCACTCGACCATTCTGAAATACGTCCAAACTCATACCTGCGCAGGAAAGCTCGCCCCTCCGCGACGTCTAGTCAGCAATTTCTACTCCAACACCACTCCCAACGCTGCAGAACAAAGTGTATTGTTGACTCTGACAAGGAAACGCAGCGGTGATCACTTGTCACTCCAAACGACAAGCTTCTCCTTGCGCCAGCAACATTTTTCGGTGCAACAGTTGATGCAAAAGTGACTGAATTTTTTCGTGTAGTTTTTGGATTATACTGCATGGGGAATGAAGAAATCACGTGGATCGTGACGTAGAACAATGCTTTCTGGTGCACGACACAATGTACACACGATCACGATCGTTCCTGAGGTGCTATTCGAAACGGACCATGAGGGAGGAGGTAAGATGCATTATATTTCTTGCATGCTCTGATAAGAACATGCAGAAACTATCGTTATAACGCTAGCTAGCAGTATTGCATTGGCAAGAATTCTTTGAGATATTTCCTCTTGCAGTAAGAACAGTACAGGGATGCATTTTTTCACACTAAAATCGCTCATCCCGAACATGGTTCAACAGGAACTGCGGCTAGTTTACATGCTGATGATCCACGTAGATCTGCAACAGCATGGAATGACCGTGGTCCATGCCATCATGGTCGCTTGGAGTTGACCCGCGCGCGGCCTACACTGGTTGGGTATGTGGCGCGTCCACAGAGCAGATTTCTTACGTCATGAACAACGTGATTTGACCCTACTCGCCCTAGTCTCTGTGCTGCATGTTGAGGGAAAGTCCCGGCTGGAAGGCCAACAACACGACATGCGTGCTCTTAAAGGGGAACTCCGGTCCAAAATCACCCCCATTTTTTATTGCGGAATCCATTAGAGTATGTCGTAAGTGGTAGAATGGCGAAAACCGGAAGCTTCTACGACAAGGATAACATACCTAAATTACCAATTGCAATTTTCCATATTTGGCACGAGGGGGCCCCCGCCCACCCTGTGACGTAAAACGTTCTCAGCCCGGTCCACTCAGATGAAATTTTCAAATAATTGAAGCAAAAATGAAAAGTCCTTGGCCATTGTTGAAGTGCTTGTTGTTCTGTGCCATGCCCGATTTATTGTCACGACTCGCTGCTGTGTCTCTGGATGCGACAATGTCACGAAGAAAGAGGCGCCTGCGGGCTGTCGTAGCATGGCTTTCCTCTGGCTGACGCGAACCTGACGACAGCTTGGCTATGGAGAGTATGTTGGAAGGATTTTTCTCCGACGAAAAATAATCGTGTCTGCACTGAGCATTTCACTGAGATGTGCTATGAAAGAGATTTCCAACAAGAGTTTGCACAAAGCATTGGTGGCTATAAGCAGAAGCAGCAGCGACGCTTGAAGCCAGGGTCTCTGCCATCCTGAAACTTGGCGGTACATGTCATACTAATAGTTAGTAGCTCCTCTACCTCTGCTGCCAGCAAAAGCAGACCACCTTCGATTTACTTCCAGGAACGTGAGCACGATGAGGTAAGTGAACGGCATGATTTTGTGCCGTCCAGAACGTAGCTCTAAACGACTACAGAGTATACACACAGTCCTCTACTCAAAATCCTAGTCAGTGAAGTCGAGAATTGATGTAATGTACATGGAACGTTATCATGTGTGTTATTTCGGTTCTCTTTATCTGTAAGTTTCCATTGCGTTACCTTCCGGTTGCAGCTACACTGCCACAAATACAAGGTACAGTATAGTGATTTGTATCATTTACCATTCCTTGGCCTTGTATTATTATAAGAAATATACGGTACTTTTCAAATTTCGCAACCTGACGGCATGTATTTGAGGAGAGAGCATGGCTGACACAGGATTCAGACCAGCACAAAATCCTGGCGAGCATCGTCATGGGCAAGACGTTGCTCAATGATATGAAGCAGCTCACCAAGTTCTGCCATACAGGCAGTCTGGAAAATGTCCATGCTGTCACACTGAAGTGGGCACCAAAACGTGTCCACTTTTCGTACAATGGCATGAGAGCACGGGTACAGTTGGCATGTCTGTCCCACAATGCCAATATAGGGAGAGCGCACGCCAAAACCAAGGAGGCTGTGCTCAGGTACAGGCTGGAATACACCAAGAGCACAAAGCACAGGGTGGCCAAGAAGCTGCACGACAACGTCCTGCAACTTCTTGAAGGACCTGTTGAACGATGTGCATACAACCATTCTCGGCATTCGCAACGGTACACGGCACCGGCACAACCCCATGCTCCCGAACACAGTACAGTCTTGTGCCATTGTATCTGTCAACTTTACCAGATTGTTCATGCAGCTGCATTGGTACAAAGCATGCGCCCACCCGAAAACACAAATATTGCCCGAGTCAAGAATAATAATTATTATTTATCGTGTCTGTCAACTGTTTTCTACATTCTGCATGCACATGTACCAATGATTATGTGAACGTCAACCAGGCCAAGAAGCATTATCATCATCATCATCATCATGTCCAACTGCTTCCTCAAAGCCCCGGTGCGCATCTGCATTGGCTTCTGGGTACAGCTGCTTTATCCTCGATACCACACAAGACGGTATCACACGCCGCTGCTTGCGTCCAAAGTATCCATGGGTGAACCATGTGTATTGTCTATACGCCACATGTATCCAAATCCTGCACAAAACAGTTGGAGAGATGTAGATACACATACCACGAGTGTCTTCATGATTGTGTAAAAGTAAATAGTTTCAGTGTAAATAGTTTCGGATTCGAATTAATATTTCTATGGGCTACTAAAGACACTTTGGCCTTTTTTTAAATTTACATCACTTTTACACACAGTTGAAACACTTACAGTGCTAGAAATAGTATGAGTGAAAGACATCGTTGTACCAGTATAATTATATTGGCATGGGTGCAATAGAACTTCATGATTGTGTGATGGAAGTTGGTGAATTTGAATACTGTACACAAAATCATTGCACAACACTTCCCATCTACTTTGTACCGGTACATGAAACATGGAAAGAAAGAAAATAATGAAACCAATTCAGTGAATCCTCACCTGTTTGACCACACCTTGCCCGAAATTCTTCGAAGGAAAGCAATGCCACCTCGAGCACTGATTTTCGCAGGCAAACAACAGCAAACTCTGAGTGCTGCGTGACGCACTGCAGCCCTTCCTGCTCGCCGCGTTTACTGAAAGCTGCAGGAACCTCCCAGCAACAAGTCGACTCGACCTCGCTCCACATCAGGCTGCATTGTCCGCAAGGGCATCAAGCAGTGCTTCTCACTTTTGCATCAACTGTTGCACCGAAAAATGTTGCTGGCGCAAGGAGAAGCTTGTCGTTTGGAGTGACAAGTGATCACCGCTGCTTTTCCTTGTCAGAGTGAACAATACACTTTGTTCTGCAGCGTTGGGAGTGGTGTTGGAGTAGAAATTGCTGACTAGACGTCGCGGAGGGGCGAGCTTTCCTGCGCAGGTATGAGTTTGGACGTATTTCAGAATGGTCGAGTGGAAAAATTCAAAATTGTTTATTTCAAGAAAACCCAAAAAGGATGATGGGGGACATGTCCTCAGTGCTAGAAGAGGTGTTCTACTATCTGCCGGTGTATAGTGTTTGCTAATTGAGGACGTAGCTCGCTGTTTTATCAGCGCTTGTAATTTGGCTATTTTCAAGACGATCATTTGTGGCGTCAAGGGATGATTGCCCTCGTCTTCTGGGATGCTGGCGTGGCTAAGGGATGCTGCCCCAAGAACTCTTCTAAGGTGAGGTAATGTTGGCTTGATGGAGTTTTGTTCGTAGCTTGTTCTTGTACGCTGTGCCGTGGCTCGTTTGTAGACCCATAAATCGTGCCAATATTGGGCCAATATTGAGGGGTATGCCAATTTCATGGTTCCCTTCAAAAGATTTTGCGCGGGCTTTGGAATATCGATCTACACCCCAAAGCAAACCTACCTGCAAATTTGAGCGAAATCTGAGAGATCGACTTGCACATATGTTCTGGTTTTCTCAGACATGCTCTCTTAACTATGATAGTCAAATGAAACATGAAATATTTGGCAGATATCTGTATTTCAGGTCAACAGAATGTGGCTGCGGCTTATAATCCAGCACGGCTTTTACTCGGGGAAAATACGGTTCGTGAAACTATTTCTTTTGAAGTTTTTCCCTATCCCCAAGCAGCTAGCAGTTTGGATCTTGTTAATTTTTCGTCAGTTGAGCTCATAAGGACTGGCTGAACTAAATGCAATGGAATGCTATGAAAAACAAAGCATTTTTAAAGCCGCCTCAAAGCCTCCAAGTCAGATGTCAGATGTCAGATGTCAGATGGATATAATTGCAATGGACAGAGCGTGCTATTTACCACGGACGATAACGTATTATCCGGACTATAAGCCGCACTGGAGTGTGAGCCGCACGGGAGTATAAGTCGCACCCCCATTTTTTGCCATGAAATACCGACATCTGCCCTATTTTATCACCGGTAATTTGATCATCGGAGTATCAGTCACACCCAATATTTTGTGAATTTTGACTTTCAAAGAGCAGCTTATTCTCCGGAAAATAAGGTAATTTGCGTGCGGGGCAGCTTTACTGTGGCTTGGATACTAAACATTGGTTTGTGCAAAAACATAATTATAGCCATTAAAAAACTGCGGCGTTTTTTCCTCCAATGTGACACACACGGTGGATAGACCGGGGCACCTTCCAAATGATCATGGGGCCAACTATCCCATCTGAAAATGTTACCCAACTACGTATCTCAGCATGGCTGCTCTATGCTCTTTTTGTGTGATCTGTAGGTAATGGCACAGCTTGCCTGGACATTGACGAGTGTGTCAGCAACAGTAACAGCAGTAGCAGCAACATCAGCAACACTACCACCAGTGACAGCAACAACAGCAGTAGCTGTGGTGAAAACACTGTCTGCGTGAACACCGTACCCGGTTTCTTGTGTCAGTGTCTTGCTGGCTACGAGGCAGTCACACATACAATCTGTCAAGACATTGACGAATGTAGTACCAGCTTCAACAGCAGCAGCAGCAACGCTACAGGAGTGAACAACTGCAGTGTCAACGCTATCTGCACAAACACTGTCGGCTGCTACGAATGCACATGTTTAAATGGTTACCATGGTGATGGTGTGACATGTCTTGATGAAAACGAATGTACCGATGGTCTACATCAATGTGCACCGCTCACAGCTGCCTGCTCCAACACAAATGGATCCTACACATGTGAATGCATTGATGGTTTTGTGGGGAATGGCACAGTATGTGACGTCTGCCCAGCTGGATTTTATGGTGAGTCCAGATTACGGTATTTCCCGGGTCATAAACCGCACCGTATTCACTCAAGAAAGTCGGTGTGGCTTATACCACAGTGCTGCTCAATGAAATCCAGTCACGTCACTCAAGTACGCGCCGGGCGCTGTGCAGCCCTAGACCTGCAAACACTGTGGGCTGTGAAAGGATGCAACGTACAGACTTGAGTGACGCGACTGGATTTCACTGACCAGCAGTGCACACTGGTCAAATGAACAATGAAATTCAGGGTGTATGTCTGGATTTCATATCAGCAGCAGTACAGGCTGAATTTTAGCCCTGGGAGGTCGAAATGAAAACCTGCCCAAAATTTGTAGAGTTACAGTAGAAAAGAAAAAAATTGTCCGATTATCGATATCGCAACCTGCGAATCTAACCCAATGAGAGCTTTTTTCCAGAATATCACGTACATGATAAACAGACCGGGTCACCTTCTAAATGGCAATGGGGCCAACTATCCCATCTGGATATGTTATCCTACTGTGTAATATTTATAATCCTTGGCTGCTCTATGCGTTTTGTGTGGTCTGCAGGAAATGGCACAGCTTGTCTGGACATTAACGAGTGTGTCGGCAACAACACCACCAACACCAGTAGTAACAACAACAGCAGCATCTGCGGTGAAAATACTGTCTGCGTGAACACCGTACCCGGTTTTTTGTGCCAGTGTCTTGCTGGCTACGAGGCAGTCACACATACAATCTGTCAAGACATTGACGAATGTAGTACCAGCTTCAACAGCAGCAGCAGCAACGCTACAGGAGTGAACAACTGCAGTGTCAATGCTATCTGCACAAACACTGCCGGCTGCTACGAATGCACATGTTTAAATGGTTACCATGGTGATGGTGTGACATGTCTTGATGAAAACGAATGTACCGATGGTCCACATCAGTGTGCACCGCTCACAGCTACCTGCTCCAACACAAATGGATCCTACATATGTGAATGTATTGATGGTTTTATGGGCAATGGCACAGTATGTGACATCTGTCCAGCTGGATTTTATGGTGAGTCTAGTGTACCGTATTTTCCGGAGTATATACCGTACTTTAAACATTCTTAAATCACCTCCAAAAATCTGATTCTGCTTTAACTATGATAGCCAAATAAAACATGAAATATTTGGCAGATATCTGTATTTCAAGTCAACAGAATGTGGCTGCGGCTTATAATCCAGCACGGCTTTTACTCGGGGAAAATACGGTTCGTGAAACTATAAATTTTCTTTTGAAGTTTTCCCCTATCCCCAAGCAGCTAGCAGTTTTGAACTTGTTGATTTTTTGTCAGTTGAGCTCATAAGGACTGGCTGAACTAAAGGCAATGGAATGCTATGAAAAACAAAGCATTATTAAAGCCGCCTCAAAGCCTCCAAGTGAGATGTCAGATGGATATTTGCAATGGACAGAGCGTGCTATTTACCACGGACGATAACGTATTATCCGGACTATAAGCCGCACTGGAGTATGAGCCGCACGGGAGTATAAGTCGCACCCCCATTTTTTGCCATGAAATACCGACATCTGCCCTATTTACCACCGTTAATTTGATCATCAGAGTATCAGTCACACCCCTTTTTTGGGTGAATTTTGAGTGTTCAAAGAGCAGCTTATTCTCCGGAAAATAAGGTGATTTGCGTGCGGGTCAGCTTTACTGTGGCTTGAATACTAAACATTGGTTTGTGCAAAAACATATAGCCATTAAAAAACTGCGGCGTTTTTTCCTCAAATGTGACACACACGGTGGATAGACCGGGGCACCTTCCCGATGATCATGGGGCCAACTATCCCATCTGAAAATGTTACCCAACTGCGTATCCAAGCATGGCTGCTCTATGCTCTTTTTGCGTGATCTGTAGGTAATGGCACAGCTTGTCTGGACATTGACGAGTGTGTTAGCAACAGTAACAGCAGTAGCAGCAACATCAGCAACACTACTACCAGTGACAATAGCAACAGCAGTAGCTGCAGTGCCAACGCCGTCTGCGTGAACACCGTACCCGGTTTCTTGTGTCAGTGTCTTGCTGGCTACGAGGCAGTCACACATACAATCTGTCAAGACATTGACGAATGTAGTACCAGCTTCAACAGCAGCAGCAGCAACGCTACAGGAGTGAACAACTGCAGTGTCAACGCTATCTGCACAAACACTGCCGGCTGCTACGAATGCACATGTTTAAATGGTTACCGTGGTAATGGTGTGACATGTCTTGATGAAAACGAATGTAGCGATGGTCCACATCAGTGTGCACTGCTCACAGCTACCTGCTACAACACAAATGGATCCTACACATGTGAATGCATTCATGGTTTTGTGGGGAATGGTACAGTATGTGACGTCTGCCCAGCTGGATTTTATGGTGAGTCCAGGTTAAGGCATTTCCCGGGGCATAAACCGCACCGTATTCACTCAAGAAAGTCGGTGTGGCTTATACCACAGTGCTGCTCAATGAAATCCAGTCACGTCACCCAATTACGCGCCGGGCGCTGTGCAGCCCTAGACCTGCAAACACTGTAGGCTGTGAAAGGATGCAACGTACAGACTTGAGTGACGCGACTGGATTTCATTGAGTAGCACTGTACAAGGGTCAAATGAACAGTGAAATTCAGGGTGTATGTCTGGATTTCATGACAGCAGCAGTACAGGCTGAAATTTTCAGACTGCTGAAATGTGTTTTAGCCCTGGGAGGTCGAAATGAAAACCTGCCGAAATTTTGTAGAGTTACAGTAGAAAAGATTTTTTTTTGTCCGATTATAGATATCGCAACCCGCGAATCTAAACCAATGAGAGCTTTTTTCCAGAATATCACGTACATGATAAACAGACCGGGTCACCTTCTAAATGGCAATGGGGCCAACTATCCAATCTCGATATGTTGCCCTACTGTGTAATATTTATTCTCCTTGGCTGCTCTATGCGTTTTGTGTGGTCTGCAGGAAATGGCACAGTTTGTCTGGACATTAACGAGTGTATCAGCAACAACACCACCAACACCAGTAGCTCAAATAATAATGGCAGTAGTAACAACAACAGCAGCATCTGCGGTGAAAATACTGTCTGCGTGAACACCGTACCCGGTTTTTTGTGTCAGTGTCTTGCTGGCTACGAGGCAGTCACACATACAATCTGTCAAGACATTGACGAATGTACTACCGACTTCAACAGCAGCAGCAGCAACGCTACAGGAGTGAACAACTGCAGTGTCAACGCTATCTGCACAAACACTGCCGGCTGCTACGAATGCACATGTTTAAATGGTTACCATGGTGATGGTGTGACATGTCTTGATGAAAACGAATGTACCGATGGTCCACATCAGTGTGCACCGCTCACAGCTACCTGCTCCAACACAAATGGATCCTACATATGTGAATGTATTGATGGTTTTATGGGCAATGGCACAGTATGTGACATCTGTCCAGCTGGATTTTATGGTGAGTCCAGATTATCGTGTTTTCTGGAGTACAAGCCACACTTTAAACATTCGATGTTCACCCGAAAAAAGTCGGTGCGGCTCAGACTACGATGGTCAAATGAACCGGAAGCTATTCACCAGGTTAGATAACTTGCAGATAAATATACTTGCGTGTCGACCAGCCTGATGGACCCCTGCTAACTGAGGCTTACTTGGTCCGACTTATTAACCCTTTGTGTACGGACTGTACAACTTTCGACCCCCTGGGATCGAAACTTTTCAAAATTTCAATCGATCGTAACTCAGTCATTTCTGTTATATCCGAAAACTAAAATATGTAGGTCGAAGAGAAAACTCCCAGCTGTCCAGTGAAATAATCGCTGAAGCGCTCCGATGTGTGGTTCCAGAGTTACGAAGCTCGAAAGTCGAATCGCGGCAAATGTCGCTCAATAGCCGCTCGCGCAGATTTGAATGAGGGATTTCCCCATCATTCTGGGCATGCAGTGACGTAGAAACACGTTCAAAATGGCAAACTGACTCGTGGCAGCTTGTGAATTTTTTTTGAAGTAACAGTTACTTGTTACGAGCAAGGAGAGCGAAATGGCTGATGCAAGACGACTTCTGTCAGAATGTTGGCGTTGCTGCTAAGACGCTGGGCTGTAGCGCTGGCGTTTTGACTTTCGTGGTGGCAAGCGTGGCTCAATGTGTTCCTCTTGCGACGAGCTTTCCAGGAAGCCCAAGATTGAAAAAATCGTCAAAAGGAGACTAAAGTTATGACCCGGATAATTATGGAATTTGAGGTGAGTCGAGATCAAATTCAGTCTGTGTACATTTTTTCAGTACATAAAGGGTTAAAATGTGCGCTTCACTTCAAAACTCAAGCATATGTACAAAGGAGCACCTGTACCAAAAAATCAACCAAGAGACGGTAGATAGATAACTACTGTGTCATTTCTTGACCTGACCTTCTAGTTTTCATCGCTGCTGGTGTCTCAGGGCGCATCTGCAAGTGCGGCAACCTGCAAAACGTCGACATTTTTTTCATCTCCTCCAAGCTACACTGCGCTTCTTTGATTTTTCACTCCATAGGCACGATTTCCACGATCGACTTCGCCTCCTCCTCATGCAGTGCGACTACCAGAATGGTGGCTGTAGGTGTTTTCGCCTGAAGCTCCCACGACACCTTCAAATGAGGCGAACAAATAAACCACCACGCATAAAAAATCACTTCTGACCACCGTGTACCGCGCGCATACTGAGTCTGATCTGTGTCGACATGTCATGCAGTCAGACCATGCGTGCTCTTCCCTGCCTGTTTCACAAATCCACTGGCCCCGGAGACTGGCGATCTTGTGACGCATCGCGATCGCGGCTCCACGCGCGGATCCGAGGACTCCGCACCGTATCCGCCGGATAATTCACCCTTCCTGCGCTTCAGTTTTCCAGCCAGGTTGTCGCCTGAAAGTCGACCTCAAGGCCGGTTATTTATTTCGATCAACTTCTCGACGATCTCTTCTGTGATCTTGATTCGTCGGCCGCCACATCGTGAACGACTGCGAGAGAGATCAGCAAACTGGACGGAGCGATGCTGGTGCTTTCTGCACGAGTTTCTGGATGACGTGTTTGCTGAAATTCTGCCAAGGAAACAGCGATTGCAGCGATTTCAATCCGCCAGGAGGCACTCGAGAACGATCGCCTAGGAGATTCTGGTACTCCTTGACAATCCCCCATTGCAGCGGAGTGTTGATTTCAGCACCAGGCCTTCTCTGTGTTGCGCGAGAAGCAACAGGAGTCCTCTGACGACAAAATTTGGACGCAAAATGCTCGAGTCGACTAGGATCCTGAGCCGCTGCCTCCTTTGGAGTTGGAGCCATTTCTTCTTCAACATCACAAATTGACAACTGAATGATAGTGTTAGATAGCTGGAAGGTTTATTCCGTCCTGAGATTATTTGAATTTGTTTGGTTGATGTTCGAAGCGAAACCCACATTTTAATAAGTCGGACCAAGTAGATTTTAAAATGGGCTTGTCCAAATATAGATATCACAATCTGTAAACGCAAACCCATGACATAAGAAAGTGTTACAAGCTGACAGCAGTAGCGTGAGGAATACACGGCCTTAGGCTTCACATTTTTACTTTCCAATTCTCACCTGAACTGAGAGAGAAGCATGGGGTTCTATAAGTCAGAGAGCGCAGCTTGGCTGAGGGTGAGGGCAAAAAAAAGGAGTAGGACAACAGGACTAGAAACAGTGTGGGAGGAAGAGTGCATCTAAGGAGCGATCAACTGTTACGCAACACGAGCAACAGTTACACAACAGGAATAACATCTAAAACTGTGTAGGGAGAGGAAGGTGAATTGCAGGGCACGCAATTGGGCGTGATGGATACCGGCAAACTCAGCTGTTCCAAGAAGCATGTGGATACTACACCATTACTTTGCCTTGGAAAGACCTCATCTCAGTAATTGTTTCAAGAAAATTCTCAACCAAAAGCACTTTTGCAGCGCGATTTCTTGGGTGCTACTGGTAGGATCCGAGGTTCTACCGGTAGGATGACATGCGAGCAATCATTAAGCCTCCGAAACTTTTTAGATTTACAGAAATTACAGTACTGTGTGAGGTGCACCCTCAACAGACCAGGTCAAGTTTTACAAGACAATTGGGTCAACTATCCCATCTGGAAATGTTACCCAGTTGCATCGTATCCTACATGGCAGGTTTACACACTGTGTGTGATCTGCAGGTAATGGCACAGCTTGCCTGGACATTGATGAGTGTGCCAGCAACAGCAACATCGGTACCACCACCAGTGCCTACAGCAGTAGTGACACCACCACCAACAACAACAGTAGTAGCAGTAGCTGTGGTGAAAACACTGTCTGCGTGAACACCGTACCCGGTTTTTTGTGTCAGTGTCTTGCTGGCTACGAGGCAGTCACACATACAGCCTGTCAAGACATTGACGAATGTAGTACCAACTTCAACAGCAGCAGCAGCAACGCTACAGGAGTGAACAACTGCAGTGTCAACGCTATCTGCACAAACACTGCCGGCTGCTACGAATGCACATGTTTAAATGGTTACCATGGTGATGGTGTGACATGTCTTGATGAAAACGAATGTACCGATGGTCTACATCAGTGTGCACTGCTCACAGCTACCTGCTACAACACAAATGGATCCTACACGTGTGAATGTATTGATGGTTTTATGGGCAATGGCACAGTATGTGACGTCTGTCCAGCTGGATTCTATGGTGAGCCTTGACGATGTAAAACCTTTTTTTTGAAGTTTTGATGTGTCAGAGAAATATCATTTTAGGATAAAGAGTGGGTTTTGAGAATTTTTTCAAAGTTATGCCAGCAATGAATTTTTCTACATGTGTACCGTATCACCCAAACCCGTTTACTAGACATGTCCAACTCTAATTTTAGGCTTCTGTCTCACAGTTTGAGGGTGATGACTTTAGTTGACAAAACAAGCCAATGCTCTCCCACAAGACCAGAGAAAACTCTGAGAGCGTTCTATATCATTCTCCACCATGTAATATACTGCCTACTTGTGTACTGCACCATGACATCATAGCTTATGAGCCATGACATCATCATGATCCACAGCCAGAAGCCAGTAATGCCTACACACAAGGTGAAGTAAATCAGAGATGCCAGTCATAGGAAAATATTTTGCTTACAGAAATCAGGACGGAGCCCTGCTAGTAACCGTGGCTTCGCTAGTAAACATGGAGTTGCCCAAATATAGATATCCCTGCCTGCGAACCAAACCCATGTGAGTTTTCCCCTGAATAACACATGTGCAACGAACAGCCTGTTCGTCTTCTACATGACCATTGGGCGAACTGCCCAATATAGAAATGCTACCCTGTACTGTACAAGTATCACACGCTTTTCTCTCACAAATGCAACTGTTCAGTACATGGGGTAGTGGTCTACCGGAGTATTCACATTCACCACCGTAGTTGTTTTCCAGAAATGAGTAGAAGCAAAAACCACACGCACAGCCACATAACAGATAAATAGCCGAGAACATCTAAATCAGTCAAAGAACTGCCAGCAAGCGGGAGAAAAGGCCGCCAAATCAGGAGAAACAGCTGGCCAGTGGTAAACATGAGTGACTGGACAGCAGGGGAGCGCCAGAAAACAATGACTCCCTACATTCCTAGCCGCGACCGCTCAACCTGGCTAGAGGAAAAACACGCCTTTCGGCCAAAAAACCTTTCTATTTCATTAATTCCTGCCCCGCTGGCAGGCGGACCCAAGAACAGAGACAACAAGAAATTGTATGTAATAACCGGTGTATGTCATAATCATAAGCCACACACGTCGGCATAGAATGTCAAGAAGAACAGCGGAAGACCCCCATGAAACCAGGGTGGGTGGGCGGGCAACTGCAACTACCACAAGGAAAAACAAAGACTATGAAAAGCACGAATATATAATTTTCTGAGTGAAAATCCATTTTTTGCACTCTTTCGCTACGCTCAGCCGTGAAAAAACAAAAACTTCTGCTATGCTTGATCATCTTATTCTTTGTCTTTTCTGCAGGAAATGGCACTACTTGTTTGGACATTGACGAGTGTGTGAAAAACACCAACAACACCAGCAATGGTAGCAGTAGCAACAACAACAGCAGTAGTGACAGCTGTGGTGAAAACACTGTCTGCGTGAACACCGTACCCGGTTTTTTGTGTCAGTGTCTTGCTGGCTACGAGGCAGTCACACATACAGCCTGTCAAGACATTGACGAATGTACTACCAGCTTCAACAGCAGCAGCAGCAACGCTACAGGAGTGAACAACTGCAGTGTCAACGCTATCTGCACAAACACTGCCGGCTGCTACGAATGCACATGTTTAAACGGTTACCATGGTGATGGTGTGACATGTCTTGATGAAAACGAATGTAGCGATGGTCCACATCAGTGTGCACTGCTCACAGCTACCTGCTACAACACAAATGGATCCTACACGTGTGAATGTATTGATGGTTTTATGGGCAATGGCACAGTATGTGACGTCTGTCCAGCTGGATTCTATGGTGAGCCTTGACGATGTAAAACCTTTTTTTTGAAGTTTTGATGTGTCAGAGAAATATCATTTTAGGATAAAGAGTGGGTTTTGAGAATTTTTTCAAAGTTATGCCAGCAATGAATTTTTCTACATGTGTACCGTATCACCCAAACCCGTTTACTAGACATGTCCAACTCTAATTTTAGGCTTCTGTCTCACAGTTTGAGGGTGATGACTTTAGTTGACAAAACAAGCCAATGCTCTCCCACAAGACCAGAGAAAACTCTGAGAGCGTTCTATATCATTCTCCACCATGTAATATACTGCCTACTTGTGTACTGCACCATGACATCATAGCTTATGAGCCATGACATCATCATGATCCACAGCCAGAAGCCAGTAATGCCTACACACAAGGTGAAGTAAATCAGAGATGCCAGTCATAGGAAAATATTTTGCTTACAGAAATCAGGACGGAGCCCTGCTAGTAACCGTGGCTTCGCTAGTAAACATGGAGTTGCCCAAATATAGATATCCCTGCCTGCGAACCAAACCCATGTGAGTTTTCCCCTGAATAACACATGTGCAACGAACAGCCTGTTCGTCTTCTACATGACCATTGGGCGAACTGCCCAATATAGAAATGCTACCCTGTACTGTACAAGTATCACACGCTTTTCTCTCACAAATGCAACTGTTCAGTACATGGGGTAGTGGTCTACCGGAGTATTCACATTCACCACCGTAGTTGTTTTCCAGAAATGAGTAGAAGCAAAAACCACACGCACAGCCACATAACAGATAAATAGCCGAAAACATCTAAATCAGTCAAAGAACTGCCAGCAAGCGGGAGAAAAGGCCGCAAAATCAGGAGAAACAGCATGGCCAGTGGTAAACATGAGTGACTGGGCAGCAGGGGAGCGCCAGAAAACAATGACTCCCTACATTCCTAGCCGCGACCGCTCAACCTGGCTAGAGGAAAAACACGCCTTTCGGCCAAAAAACCTTTCTATTTCATTAATTCCTGCCCCGCTGGCAGGCGGACCCAAGAATAGAGACAACAAGAAATTGTATGTAATAAATAATCTTAAGAGAGCATGTCTGAGAATACCAAAGTATGTGTGCAAGTGGATCTCTCCGATTTCGCTCAAAATTTGCAGGTAGGTTGCCTTTGGGGTGTGGATCGACTGTGCAAAGCCCTTGAAAAAGTTTCTGAAGGGAACCTTGAAATTTGCATACCCCTCAAAAATGGCCGAAATATCACATTATTTATGGGTCTAGAAACGAGTCACGCCACAGCGTATACGAACAAGCTATGAACAAAACTCCATCAAGCCAACATTGCCTCACCTTAGAAGAGTTCCTGGAGCAGTACCGCTTAGCCACGCCAGCATCCCAGAAGACGAGGTCCATCACCCCCTGACGCCACAAATGATCGTCTTGAAAATAGCCAATTTACAAGCGCTGGCAAAACAGCCAGCTACGTCCTCAATTGGCCAGAACTATACACCGGCAGATAGTAGAACACCTCTTCTAGCGCTGAGGACATGTCTCCCATCTTCCTTTTGGGGTTTTCTTGAAATATACTTTTTTGAATTTTTCCACTCGACCGTGCTGAAATACGGCCAAAGTCATACCTGCGCAGGAAAGCTCGCCCCTCCGCGACGTCTCCTCAGCAATTTCTACTCCAACACTACTCCCAAGGCCGCAGAACAAAGTATAGTGTTGACTCTGACAAGGAAAAGCAGCGGTGATCACTTGTCACTCCAAACGACAAGCTTCTCCTTGCGCCACCAATAATTTTGTGCGACTGTTGATGCAAAAGTGACTGAAGGCCTGAGCGCAGTTTTTGAATTTTATTGCAAGATGCACGGTGAGATCGCGTGCTCTGTGACGTAGGATGACGCTTCCTGCGTCACGATACGCGCCCAACGATCGTGAAAGTGCCTGGAACGCTACTCGGAACAGACCATGATGGCAGAGGTAAGATGAGCTTCATTTCCTGCTTGAACTGCTGAGTACCCCAACAAACTGTCCTAGGAGTGTTGCAATGGCAGCAAGCCGTTGAAATATGCCCCGTACAGCATGGAGAGTTATTCGTCTTTCACACATACCTCCTGCAATCCCGAACATAGTCCAACAGTAAAAGTCCCTTGTTTTCATGTCGATGCTCGACAAAAGCGGCTAGCTCGGTCCCTGTGTTGACTGCACGCGAGTAGCACTGACTGCACGCACTTGTCGCGTGAACTGCATGAGAGATTTCTTACGTCATAAAGAATGTGATTTCATCATCATTTCACTGGTCTTCGACCTACATGGTCAGGGAAAGTCCCGGTTCGTAGGCCTACAACACTCCCAGCGTGTTCTTGAGCGCAGTAACAACACAAGTGGGATCACTTCCAGACCACCGGGCGTTCAAGGCGAGTAACAAGCGCACTTGACGAAGGTGACTCTGAAATCTCGTGAGCCGTGGGCCACGCGACTTGGCATTCTTGCGTCACAAGGCACGTGATTTCACCGTGCATCTTGCAATAAAATTCAAAAACTGCGCTCAGGCCTTCAGTCACTTTTGCATCAACAGTCGCACAAAAAATTATTGGTGGCGCAAGGAGAAGCTTGTCGTTTGGAGTGACAAGTGATCACCGCTGCTTTTCCTTGTCAGAGTCAAAACTACACTTTGTTCTGCGGCCTTGGGAGTAGTGTTGGAGTAGAAATTGCTGAGGAGACGTCGCGACGGGGCGAGCTTTCCTGCGCAGGTATGACTTTGGCCGTATTTCAGCATGGTCGAGTGGAAAAATTCAAAATAGTTTATTTCAAGAAAACCCCAAAAGGAAGATGGGGGACATGTCCTCAGCGCTAGAAGAGGTGTTCTACTATCTGCCGGTGTATAGTTCTGGCCAATTGAGGACGTAGCTGGCTGTTTTGCCAGCGCTTGTAAATTGGCTATTTTCAAGACGATCATTTGTGGCGTCAGGGGGTGATGGACCTCGTCTTCTGGGATGCTGGCGTGGCTAAGCGGTACTGCTCCAGGAACTCTTCTAAGGTGAGGCAATGTTGGCTTGATGGAGTTTTGTTCATAGCTTGTTCGTATACGCTGTGGCGTGACTCGTTTCTAGACCCATAAATAATGTGATATTTCGGCCATTTTTGAGGGGTATGCAAATTTCAAGGTTCCCTTCAGAAACTTTTTCAAGGGCTTTGCACAGTCGATCCACACCCCAAAGGCAACCTACCTGCAAATTTTGAGCGAAATCGGAGAGATCCACTTGCACACATACTTTGGTATTCTCAGACATGCTCTCTTAAGCCACACACGTCGGCATAGAATATCAAGAAGAACAGCGGAAGACCCCCATGAAACCAGGGTGGGTGGGCGGGCAACTGCAACTACCACAAGGAAAAACAAAGACTATGATGGCAGGTTCAACGGAGTTGCGCAGAACAAGAGCAAAAGCACGAACATATTATTTTGTGAGTGAAAATCTATTTTTTGCACTCTTTCGCTACGCTCAGCCGTGAAAAAACAAAAACTTCTGCTATGCTTGATCATCTTATTCTTTGTCTTTTCTGCAGGAAATGGCACTACTTGTTTGGACATTGACGAGTGTGTGAAAAACACCAACAACACTAGCAATGGTAGCAGTAGTAACAACAACAGCAATAGTGACATCTGTGGTGAAAATACTGTCTGCGTGAACACCGTACCCGGTTTTTTGTGTCAGTGTCTTGCTGGCTATGAGGCAGTCACACATACAATCTGTCAAGACATTGACGAATGTACTACCAGCTTCAACAGCAGCAGCAGCAGCAACGCTACAGGAGTGAACAACTGCAGTGCCAACGCTATCTGCACAAACACTGCCGGCTGCTATGAATGCACATGTTTAAATGGTTACCGTGGTAATGGTGTGACATGTCTTGATGAAAACGAATGTACAGATGGTCCACATCAGTGTGCACTGCTCACAGCTACCTGCACCAACACAAATGGATCCTACACATGTGAATGTGTTGATGGTTATATGGGCAATGGCACAGTATGTGAAGTCTGTCCAGCTGGATTCTATGGTGAGTTTAGGTATATCGTATTCTCTGGATTATAGGCCGCACTGTAAATGCCCCCAAAAAGTCAGTGCTGCTTATATTTCAATGGTCACATTTTTTTGGCTGTTTACCCCTCTTGGTCACATGAACACTGCAATAACAATGTTACAGGGTAGATGTCTGTTTTTTTGTGACAAATATCTGGGTGGGGCTTGTACTGCATAAAACACAGCAGGTGAAACTATTCCTTTGGAAGTAACTAACCGCAATGAAATCTTGTGGAAACAAAGGACTTTTAAATCACCTCAAGACATCCACGTCAGATGGCTCTCTTTGCAACGGACATAGTGAGGTGATCTGTTATCACCAGGGCAGATAGCTTGCGGATACAACTTGCAAGTGGGGCTGCCTGACAGACCCCTGCTAACTGCGGTTTACTGTAAGTCGCATAATTATTCTTTCGGCTATTTTTGACCTGGGCATTTTGCCCCAACAAATTGTCACAACCAAAATTTTGTTTTTCAAGGTTCAGTTTGACAGTGCATACAGGTAGCAGCAGTACAGGCTGAAGTTTCATTGCAGCTGAAATGTGTTTTTGACCTGCGGGGAGGTCGCAATGTAAACCTGCCGAAAATCTGTAGACTTACAGTAGATTTTTAACATGTGCATGTCCAAATATAGATATCACAGCATGCCAACCCAAACCTATGGGAAATTCCCCCTAATATGATGTACACGATGAACAGACTGGGTCACCTTCTAAATGACCATTGGCTCAACTATCCCATCTAGAAATCTAACCCCACTACAGTATTTTCCGGAGTATAAGCCGCACTGGAGTATAAACTGCACTGGAGTATAAGCCACACTGGAGTATAAGCCACACTGGAGTATAAGTCGCACTGGAGTATAAGCCGCTCTGGAGTATAAGTCGCACTCCCATTTTTTTTTGACACGGAATACAGACATCTATCCTATTTATCACCAATAATTTGATCATCGGAGTATAAGCCGCACCCCTTTTTTTGGTGAATGTTGAGTGTTCAAAAGTGCGGCTTATACTTTGAAAAATACGGTATGCATCCTAGCGCGGCCGCTCTCTGCTCCTTTTTGTATGGTCTGCAGGAAATGGCACAGCTTGTCTGGACATTGACGAGTGTGTCAGCAACAGTAACACCAGCACCACTGGCAACACCACCGGTTCTGCCAACAACAACAGTAGTAGCTGCGGTGAAAACACCGTCTGCGTGAATACCGTACCCGGTTTTTTGTGTCAGTGTCTTGCTGGCTATGAGGCAGTCACACATACAGCCTGTCAAGACATTGACGAATGTACTACCAGCTTCAACAGCAGCAGCAGCAGCAACGCTACAGGAGTGAACAACTGCAGTGTCAACGCTATCTGCACAAACACTGCCGGCTGCTATGAATGCACATGTTTAAATGGTTACCATGGTGATGGTGTGACATGTCTTGATGAAAACGAATGTACCGATGGTCCACATCAGTGTGCACTGCTCACAGCTACCTGCTCCAACACAAATGGATCCTACACATGTGAATGTATTGATGGTTTTATGGGCAATGGCACAGTATGTGAGGTCTGTCCAGCTGGATTTTATGGTGAGTCTAGTTTGCCGTATTTTCTGGAGTATAAGCCGCACTTTAAATACTCGTAACTCTTGTTCCGGAAAATATTGTATGTGAAACTATTTCTTTTGAAGAAACTATAACCACGGTGAAATCTTGTAAAAACAACGCACATTTAAGGTAGCTGGAAGCACATTTAAGGTAGCTGGAAACTAAAATTTAGATTTTCATATTGGCCCCGACATTTTTCGCTATTTTTTTACAAATCAACTCTCTACCAAGTGTAAGGTACTAGTAAAACCAAGAAAACTGTTCATCACAAAAAGGGTTTTGATTTCTTTTCCCGCACTTAAATTGCTTCAAGGCATCCAAGGCAGGTGGCTCTAGTTGCAACGAACATAACCTGAGCTTATCACCATCGCAGATAATTAATTTCACGGCTCGCGTCAGTCTCGGCTGGGGGCCGAGTTTTCTGCATCCGCAGGAACACCACCACCCTCTATGGATCAAGGTGCAAATGCAGCTCATAAAGCGGTGGAAGCTGAGTAGATCAGACCCGACACGAAACTGGTCAAAGACCGAGAATCTCATTCACTGCAACCATGTTTTCCTCACGCCACGCCACAAGTTCCCAATTAGCTGTGGGTCGCAGCACGGCTGGAAAAATTCCTTCCACTTCCAAACAGGACTTGGACCTGGTACCCTCTGTTTCTCAAAAATGGTCTTAGACAATTCCACTATGCCTGCCTGCATAGCGTAGATAACTTGCATATATAGCTTGCGTGCGGCGCAACGGCGATGGACCCCTGCTAGCTGAGGCTTAGATTTCAAAATGTGCTTGTCCAAATATAGATATCACAACCTACACACCCGAACCATGGGAGTTTTTCCTTGAATACTGTAAGGGGCCATCCGTAAATATAGATATTTATATAGAAACGAAAACTAGTCGTTTAGGGGGGGAGGAGGTTGAGCGCCTGTTCGTTTCTCAAAAAAATATCGATGCACAGTTTGTATGTGTGGGCACGTCCAGAAAAAAAGAAAATAATATCGATTCTATGTACCGTTTGTATGTATTTGTTTCTCGGAGAGGGGGAGAGGGGGGGGGGGGTTGAAGAGAAAGGACTAGTTTTTGTTTCTAAATAAATATCGGTATTCACGGATGACCCATAAGTCGACAAATATCTGGCGCATCTATATTTTCGGCAATTTTCGGCCAGGGAATTTTTGACCTAGAATTGTTGTGACAGGAATGTTCCTTTCCAAAGTTCAGTGCAATAGTGCATACAGGCAGCAGCAGTACAGGCTGAAGTTTCATTGCAGCTGAAATGTGTTTTTGACCTGCGGGAAGGTCGAAATGTAAACGTGCCGAAAATTTGCAGACTTGAAGTAGATTTTTAACATGTGCTTGTCCTAACATAGATGGATATCACAGCATGCCAACCGAAACCCATGGAAATTTTCCCAAATATGACATACACAATGAACAGACTGGGCCACCTTCTAAATGACCATGGGGCCAAGTATCCCATCTAGAAATGTCACCCACCTACGTTATTTTCCGGGGTATAAGCCGCACTGGGGTATAAGCCACACTGGTGTATGAGCCACACTGGGGTATAAGCCACACTGGGGTATAAGCCGCACTGGGGTATAAGCCACACTGGGGTATAAGCCGCACTGGGGTATAAGCCACACTGGGGTATAAGCCGCACTGGGGTATAAGCCACACTGGGGTATAAGCCGCGCTGGGGTATAAGTCGCACCCCCATTTTCCCCACGAAATAAAGACATCTATTCTATGAATCACCGTTAATTTGATCATCGGAGTATAAGCCGCACCCCCTTTTTTGGGTGAATATTGAGTGCTCAAAGTGCGGCTTATACTCTGAAAAGCACGGTGTGTATCCCAGCATGGCTGCTCTATGCTTTTTTTGTGCGGTCTGTAGGTAATGGCACAGCTTGTCTGGACATTGACGAGTGTGTGAGCAACAGCAGCAACAGCGACAATAGCATGAGCAGCAGTAGTGACAGCTGCAGTGAAAACACTGTCTGCGTGAACACCGTACCCGGTTTTTTGTGTCAGTGTCTTGCTGGCTATGAGGCAGTCACACATACAGCCTGTCAAGACATTGACGAATGTACTACCAGCTTCAACAGCAGCAGCAGGAGCAACGCTACAGGAGTGAACAACTGCAGTGTCAACGCTATCTGCACAAACACTGCCGGCTGCTACGAATGCACATGTTTAAATGGTTTCCGTGGTGATGGTGTGACATGTCTTGATGAAAACGAATGTACCGATGGTCCACATCAGTGTGCACTGCTCACAGCTACCTGCTCCAACACAAATGGATCCTACACGTGTGAATGTATTGACGGTTTTATGGGCAATGGCACAGAATGTGACGTCTGTCCAGCTGGATTTTATGGTGAGTCTAGTTTACCGTATTTTCAAGAGTACGTACCGTACTTCAAACATTTGTAATTCACTCCAAAAAGTCCAATACGGCTTAAACTATAATAGCCGAATGAAATATTAACTGGTTCGAGGGCAAGACACAAACGGGAAAAGTCTGAAGAAAAAATTGACTGTCACCACCAGGACTCGAGCCAGGGACCCTCGCTTGTAGCCAGCCATGCTCTAACCACTGAGCTATGGTGTAGTCGTCATCCCAGCAGAGACTGTTCAACATTTTCTTCAGACTTCATAACTCAAACTTTATATTTTTATTTTTTTATTTATGGATTAACCAAAGGCCGAGGCCTAAGTCAAGGGGGTCTCCACTTCCTGTGAATCCACACAGGTGGCTGGGACGCAGCCCTCACTGTACCCACACACTTCACGTACAAACTAGTACGGATGAAACGTGAGATATTTGCTAGATGTCTGTATTTCATGTCAAAAACATATGGGTGCGGGGTACTCCAGCGTGGCTTGCACTCTGGATAATATGGTTCGTGAAACTATTTTTTTGAAGTTTTCCTCTATCCCCAAGCAGCTAGCAGTTTGGGTCTTGTTCATTTTTTGTCAGTGGATCTCAGAAGGACTGGCCAAATTAACCCTTTACCATCCGTGCGTACTTGAATCGATCTCTAGAGATCGATGGACATGCATACACTAAAACATTCGTAACTCGATCGATTCTTGTCGGAATGTAAAGAACTAAATATCTAGGAAGAAGCCGAAGAACCCAGCTTTCCATTGCATCAATCGGTAAAGAGCTGTGATGTCGCATTCCAATGATATTTTGCTCGACATTTCAGCTACGGCAAAAGTCGAATTTCTTTCCGAGTGACTGACCTTGAGCGGGGATTTTCCCCTCTCCTGACATGCTGAGTCACTTTGGCATGCTTTGAGCGCGTGGGCAGCATGAAAAGGAACTCAAGCAAAAAAAATTGGAATGTTTACGATGAAGGAGCGAGAAATGGCTGGCGAGGAGAGAATTTCCTCGTATATCCAGCGATGGGGTGTATTTGAAGCTCCCTGGTGCTTGATATGTGGTCTTGGTAGTGTCCTGTTTGAGCTCAATGTACGCAGCTTGTGGAGAGCTTTCCAGAATGCCCAAGATTGTGAAAAATGGTTGATTAGAACCGAAGATATTCTCAGAATGAGGTGAGAATTATTGCATTTGGGACTGCTGGGGAATTTTGGTCGGATGGTAAAGGGTTAACCGCAATGACATCTTATGAAAACCTAGCATTTTTTAAACCGCCTCAAGGCATCTAATCCAGCAGGCTCTAATTGCAATGAACAAAATGAGCTTATCACCGGTGCACCAGGGTAGATAAGTTGAAGATACAACTTGTGTGTGGGGCAGCCTGTCAGACCCCTGGTAACTGAGGCTTACTGCAAGTAACATTTAACATTCGGTGCATTTTTAGCCCTCGTGGAGACTGTCGATTTTTTCTTCAGACTTTCCGTTTGCATCAAGTTTTGCCTCAAACTTGTGAATACGCATATTTTTATTTTCGGCTATTTTCGGCCCGGGCATTTTTACCTAAAATTTCCTGCAGCCTTTTGTTTTGCAAGATTCAGTGTGACGGTGTATACAAGCAACAGCAGAACAGACTGGAATTCAAATGCGGCTGAAAGGTGTTTTTCTCCCTGGGAGGCCGAAATTTGAACTTGCCCAAAATTTGTAGACTTACTATAGATTTTAAAACATGTGCTTGTTCCAATAAGGCCATCATTTTTTATATCTATGTTTCGCATCAGTTCAACTTCCAGAATCATATGCGAGAGGTGGAAAGAAATAAAAAGTTGCAAAATAATAAAAAAAGGATCATCAGAGGTGTATAGCACTACACATACTACATAGCCTATTGACAATAGCTCGTGCATGGTGTACATTCGAAAGAAAAATCGTACATCAAAGCACAAAATCTGGGTTATCAGCAAGAGTAAATATTCACTTTGGACAGAGGAGGCAACCGTTGGTGCCCATGCTTCGCTGGATTATTGTACTCAGCCTTCAGCAGCGGTGCAAAGAGCTCCGAAACGACGCATCCTCTCAGCTTGAGGCGATTGTTGCGGTCTGTTGTAAGCTCAAAGAATTCTGCTCGCAGATGCAGAACAAACGATCTATCAACGCTGGCCTCGAGGGCAATTCTGAATCCCACCTTCGCCGTATGCAACCAGTTCACACTGATGACTCGCACGATCGTACACTCACTGTGCATGTTCAATTTTTTTTTCCGAAAAAAATCAAAATGTATGCGTGCGGACGACGCGAAACATAGATATAAAAAATGATGGCCTAATAGATATGACAGCATGCCAATCCAAACCCATGGGAGTTTTCCCGAATACGATGCACACAATGAAGAGACCGAGTCTCCTTTGCGAATGACAATGGAGCCAACTATCCCATCTCTCTCTCTCTCTCTCTCTCTCTCTCTCTCTCTCTCTCCGCCATTCCTCTCGCCCCCCCCCCCCTCTCCCATGGTGCTTGCTGTGTACGCCGATCCCGAGACCCTTGGTCGGGGGAGTCCACTGCATCTCACTAGCGCAGCTCATGTAGCGCCTACACACCCATTGTTGTCTTTTTTGTTTCGTCTTCGTTTTGTCTCCCCTTCTTTCGTAGGTATGTGCAATGTGATAAAAAACTTCGTGATGGATTTTTGAGGGGCTGACTTGGGCAAAACCTGACGTGAAATGAGTCGCAATCACTTTCTTGGCCTTCCCTGGCATGCCATGAAAGAGGTATGATGCAAGGAAAGCGACCTTTCACAACAAGCCGAGCGAAATCGATAGTTGCGCTTTGGAAACATACGTGATGACAGTCATGGCGAGCGAAACTGAAATAACACTTCTCCGATGGGATATTGCGCTGCTTGGCTTCTCTACCACTTGAGCACTAAGTAAGTTAGTTGGAGAGCAATAGAGAGCGACAACACGGAGCAGCGAGCCCACACAATGAGCCAGTGAACAAGGAGCTGCTCCGATCGTATGGCTCAACGAAATTAATTCTGAACTCAAGTTCTTGTTCAACCTGCACAAAGCCCAGATTCGAATGCTGATGACCATGCATTCTTTCAGAAGTCTGCAGTCCGATGCAAGTCTCATGGCTAAAGAAAGTCGACTGGACTTGCTAGCCGGTGCCGTTCAGTGCTGGCAGGGGTATCCATTAGAGAAAATGGAATCAGTTTGGCTGTGCCCTTACTCCTCGTTTCGCGAAGTTCTGGAGAGCGAAGATAAAACCAGGGAGTCGTAAAATGTTTTTCACAACTCCCTGGTGGAAACGAGTAATCGCCATTGCGGCGGATCACGCAGCTTGAAAGCCAAGTTACTTGAACGACGGCGACATCAAGGTCAGCGGAGTGTGATCAAAGAAGCCGAGGCAGGGCTGAAACGAGCTGAACAACGACTCGAGAGAGATGACGACTCGCGTGCATCAGATGACGGCTCGCATGAAGCAGATGACGACAGCGACGCACGTCAAAAATGAGTCGAGCGAAAGCGACGCAAACTGAACTCTCTGCTCATTCCGCGAACAGTTTTTCTTGTAACGACGCTGTACATAGGCTGAATCACCTTCCTCCGGTGATTTGCAGTCGATGTAAACTGTTCTTGACCTGTTCTAAGGGTTTTCATATCCATCAAAATCCATCACGAAGTTTTTGTTAACGGAGGAAGTATGTACAATGTGATGTGAAAAAAATCTGGAAATGTCACCCAACAGCACTGTATCATGCACTGCTTCTTGATGCTCTTTATGGTCTGCAGGAAATGGCACAGCTTGCCTGGACATTGACGAGTGTGTCAGCAACAGCAGCAGCAACACCACTAATAACTGTACTAGTGCCTCTAGCAGCTGTGTGAACACGGACGGTGGATTTGAATGCGCCTGTTTTGCCGGATACACGGGCCAGCTTTGTGATGTCGACATTGACGAGTGTCTGTCTGGTCCTTGCTTCAACGGTTCCTGCCGGGACCTAGTGGCCAAGTATGAGTGTGATTGCTACAGCGGCTATACGGGATCACGGTGTGCGAGTGACGTAAACGAGTGTGAGCAACAGCTGGACAACTGTACAAACGGTACCAGCAGTTGTGTCAACGTGGACGGCGGATTCGAGTGCGCCTGCTTCGCCGGCTACACAGGAGTCGTGTGTGATATTGATGTGAACGAATGTCTCTCTGAGCCGTGCCGGTGGAATGGCTCATGCTCTGACCATGTGGGCAGCTACATGTGTCACTGTTTGCCTGGTTTCACCGGCCTGCAGTGCCAACATGACATAGATGAATGCTCAGTACCGACTCACAACAACTGCTCCGCAAACACCAGCAGCTGTGTCAACACCGACGGGGGATTCCAGTGTTCTTGCTCGGCGGGGTACACTGGACCGATCTGTGATATTGAAGTTGACGAATGCTCTTCCAGTCCCTGTATCCACGGTACTTGCATGGATCAGATAGCGGGATATCTTTGCGACTGCATCAGCGGCTTCAATGGCTTGCATTGCGAGCACGATATACACGAGTGTCTACTCGGTACACACAACTGCACAAACAATGCCAGTGAGTGTGTCAACTTTGACGGCGGATTCGACTGCATGTGCTTCGCCGGATACACAGGCTCAGTGTGTGAGGTCAATATCGACGAATGCCTGTCAATGCCCTGTTTCAATGGCTCTTGTATGGATCTAGTTGCTGGGTACGCCTGCAACTGTTCAAGCGGGTACACTGGCTCGCGATGTCAGAGTGATCTTGATGAGTGCTTGACGGGCGTTCACAACTGCTCAGGGTTAGGTGGCAACTGTAGCAACACGTTCGGTGGATTTGAATGTGCTTGCTTTCCCGGGTATGCAGGGCCAATGTGTGACATTGAGACTGACGAATGTGCATCTGAGCCATGCATCAACGGGACCTGTAGGGATCAGGGGGCTGGCTATGTATGCGATTGCACAGCCGGATTCACCAGCCAACATTGTGATATTGAGATGGACGAATGTTCATCCGAGCCATGCCTCAACAACGGGACTTGTAGCGATCAGGTCGCTGGCTATGTATGCGACTGCACGGCAGGTTTCACCAGTCCACATTGTGTCATTGAGATCGACGAATGTTCGTCCGAACCGTGCTTTAACAATGGCTCCTGTAGGGATCAGATAGCAGGCTATGCATGCAATTGCACTGCCGGTTTCACCAGCCAACACTGTGACATTGAGATTGACGAATGTGCATCTGAGCCATGCTTCAATGGCTCTTGTAGAGATCAGATCGCAGGCTATGCATGCGAGTGTTTCAGTGGTTACACTGGACTTCTGTGTGAAAACGACCTTCACGAATGTCTGCTTGGTACGCACAATTGCACGAACCACACCAGTGTCTGCATCAACCTGGACGGTGGATTTGAATGCATGTGCTTCCCCGGCTATACGGGGCCAATCTGTGATGTTGATATTGATGAGTGTACTTCAAGTCCATGCGTGTATGGTACCTGCATCGATCAGACTGCAGGATTCACATGCAGCTGCTTGACTGGCTTCTCGGGTGTACGTTGTCAGAGTGATAATGATGAATGTCAAACTGGTGCTCACAACTGCTCAGGATTGGGTGGTAATTGTGACAACACTCATGGTGGATTCCAATGTACTTGCTTTGCGGGATATACAGGACCAGAGTGTAGTGTGACGATTGATGAATGTCTCTCGGCTCCGTGTCAGAACAATGGAACATGTGTGGATCAAATCGCCGGCTTTGAATGCCAGTGCAATACTGGTTTCACTAGCGCACTGTGTGATGTCGATATCAATGAATGTGCATCTGAACCATGCCAGAACAATGCCACATGTGTGGATGAAATCAACTCTTTCCAATGTCAATGTCATCCAGGTTACAACGGCACACTCTGTAGCAATGACATTAACGATTGCTCCGGGAATCCATGTCTGAATCAAGCAACGTGTACGGACGGTGTCAATTCCTATGCGTGCACCTGTGCTCCGGGATTTTCTGGCCTGTTCTGTGAGCAAAACGTGGATGACTGTCTCGGCGTGATGTGTGGCAATAACGGCTCATGTGTAAACCTGGTGAATGGGTTTGAATGCACGTGTGTAGCAGGCTATACGGGTGTTTTCTGTGAAGTCAATGTGGAGGAGTGTAGCAGTGCTCCGTGTCAGAATAATGCTACATGCGTGGACCTCGTTAACGCATATCGGTGCGAGTGTGAACCAGGATTCACCGGACTTCAATGTGAGGATGACATTGATCACTGCACGTCCGCGCCGTGTGTGAACAATGCAACATGCACGGACTTGGTCAATGCGTATCGCTGCGACTGCATTCCAGGTTTCACTGGATTGCAATGCCAAACTGATATCGTCGAGTGTCTCTCCTCGCCGTGCGATAACGGAACGTGTGTAGACGGCATTAACGGATACGTGTGTGTCTGCAATGGCGGCTTCACCGGTTTCACATGTGAGATCAATGTTGAGGAGTGTGAGTCTGATCCGTGTGTGCAGGGTACGTGTGTAGACCAGGTCAACAGCTACCAGTGTGTATGTAGTGCAGGCTATACAGGTGTGCTGTGTGAGGTCAATATCAACGAATGTCTCTCCATGCCTTGTGTGAATGGCACGTGTAACGACAACGTCGATGGCTTTACCTGTTCGTGCACTCCTGGCTTTACGGGTCTGACTTGTGCGGTTGACATCAATGAGTGTGTGTCCACACCCTGTGTGAATGGTTCATGTAATGATGCCGTCAACGCATTCTCCTGTGACTGCTTCCCGGGTTTTAGTGGCATGCTGTGCAACACCGACATACTAGAGTGTGCCAGTGAACCATGTCAAAACAACCAGTCGTGTGTGGAGCTGACGGACGGGTTTGCATGCACGTGCTCTTTGGACTACTTTGGTGTGCTGTGTGAGAATGTAAACAACTCGTGTACAGATCCTGCACTGACCGTGCCCAGATGCCTTAACAGCGGTGTGTGCGTTCCGGAGGGGATTCCCCAGGACAGCGGTGGTGGTGGTGGTAGCAGTGTCAGTGTAAACAGCTATAATTGTCAGTGCTTACCTGGCTTTACGGGTGTGCACTGTGAGGTCAATGTGGATGACTGTCTTGGAATGCCTTGTCTCAATAATGCCGTCTGTATGGACATGGTGGATGCATACCAATGTCAATGCCAATCTGGTTTTACTGGCCAGAATTGTCAAGTGGGTAAGTCAGAAAGTTGTTAGCTGGTGGAAATTTCACGGGAAATGAGTACATGATAATTTGTTGTGGTTATACAGGGCGCATCAATGCTCTCAGCAGCTGCTTTCTATGTGCATTTTGTGATATGGTGTGTGTGTGTGTGTTGAGGAAGGGGGAGTGGAGAGAGAGAACTGTAGATAGAGAGAGTGTGTGTCCGTCTGTCTGTCTCTATTTCTGGCTGTAAATCTGTCGGCTTGTGTACGAGAGTATTTGTATGATGGTGGACATTGTGTATAGGAATATTTGGCTATTGTTTGTGTATGCATGTACTGTATAGCAGGAAATTTTCGGACGGAAATATTTTCGGACAAAGCCGAATTTCGACCTTTCGTACAGATTATATTTTCGTACAGTGCTGCATGCTAAATGCACGTGTTCGCAGGCAGTATGCATGTATAGTGTACATAATTTCACATGAACAAATTTTAGTACGGATTTTAGTACAAAAGAGGCCGCGTACGAAATCGTACGAAAATAAATTCCGTCCGAAAATTTCCTGCTATACAGTATCTGTATTGTATTCTGTTGCAGACATTGACGACTGCATTGATGTCAACTGCACGGCAAACTCCAAATGTCGCGACGGCGTTGATCAATTCCAGTGTGTCTGCGACGAGGGCTATGTGTCCACCACCTCTGACTCTGTCAACACTGAAATACATTGTACAGATGAAGATGAATGTAGACAAGCAGATGTGAGTGTGTGTCCACCAAACTCCAACTGTCTGAACACTATAGGTAGTTTTGACTGCACATGTCAGTCTGGTTTTAGTGGAGATCGGCACAATGGCTGTGTGGACATCAATGAGTGTGTAACGGGTGCGAACGATTGTGATGTGCCAACCAGAGCGAGATGTGTCAATACTGCCGGTGGAGTCCGCTGTGAATGCTTCAACGGGACCACCGGAAACGGAACGACCTGCTACCGTGAGTGTGTGTGTGTGTATGTTTGTGTGTGTGTGTGTGTGTGTGTGTGTGTGCATGTGTGTGTGTGTGTGTGTGAGTGTGTGTACGTGTACGTGTGTGTATACGTGTGTGAACATGCTACTGTTTGTGTGTGCTCTCTGTTCTCTGGAGTTGATCCCGATAGAATGGTCCTGCTGGCTTTTGAAAGCTCGACCATGGCCGAATTAGGCTCAAAGCTTACTTCAAGTTCAAGATGTTGGGTTAGGGATGGACTGCTCCATATATTCTCCATGGTATACCTGTCCTTTTTTTGTAAAACGTGCACAAATTTCTAGCTACATAACTATCGACTTTCTGGTCCCAACTGTGGCAAGGAAGAATTGCACTTGAGGACCAATGCAAGATGTACTGGGTTTTTTTTGCATTACTCAGTTACTAGTAAGTCTACCACTATGCCAGCAAGGAGCCATAAACTTAGAGTGCCACTTTTAGATAAACACACTTTACAGCACAAAGCACTGTCCCTTTGTTCTGCTTCTGTTCGTGTGCAGTGCCAGCTGCTGTTGATCCCCTACCGGCCACATTGCGCAATGTCTTTGCCAGCACCGAAGTCAGGATAACATGTAACTACAGAGGATACCCGCAGGCTACCCCGCGGTGGTGCAAGCTGAGCAATGATGACATCACCATGACATCATCGCTGGCTGCAGATGGATGTGCAGCATACGACTCATCGTGTCCGTACGCGGTAACGGGCGACAGCAGCAGCACAACAACTCTGGTAATAGGCCAGGTACAGAACTGCCATCGTGGACTATACCGGTGTATCGCCACCAATATAGCCAACCTGCAGGGCTCCTACTCCGATGTAGAACTTGATGTACTTGGTAAGTATAATGCTTCCATTAGAACACCTTCTCAGAATGATGTAGGTAACTGTTACGGTTTACCAAGTAGCTGTAAGGGAAAGGGGTCTCCTATCATCTCAGGTTTGGGTGCTTGTTACCCTCTAAGATAATCCAAGTCAACGCTAGAGACTAATTACTGAAAACCCTGTCAATGGCTATGTATACAGTAACTGTGTGGTGTTGGGAAAGTACCTGTCCAGCTGACAAGCTGTAACCCTGCCTTGCCCAAGTCACATCAACCGTTATATTGCATGTCTGAGAATATAGTCGGACAATCGAAACTTGCTGTTTTGGGCCATTTCTTGATATTGGATGGGAGCACCAAACATTGACCATGCAAACTGCGATATACATGTACTGACTACATGTACCAAGTATTGCGTACATGTTAAGCCACAAACCTCGCATGCTTTGTGTCTCAGATTCTAGTGACTTCAAGATTTCTGGCAACTACAGCGAAGTGTCAAGCAGCAGTGTGGGTGCTGACGTACAACGAACGGTAAGACCAGCATTGCTGTGTAGTGCTACCATGAATCCACACTAACGCTACTTTCTGCATTAGTTCACAGACGCACACCAAACTGATTCCGTCCTTTCCGTCACGCGTCTGTGTTAGATTACAGTGTAGAGTTGCAGAAATATTCACCTCACAACCTTCTCCAGTCCTGCGTGGCAATACACCATTACAAGAGATATCTTCCCATCTCTCCCCTCCCCCCCCCCCCCCATAAGCCATTAAAGGGATGAAGTAGCCTAGGATTGTAGAACGTTGTGCGGTGAGTATCTCTCTCTCTCTCTCTTTCTCTCTCTCTCTCTCTCTCTCTCTCTCTCTCTCTCTCCCTTCCTCTCTCTCTCTTCTATTGGCGCGCCTGGTTGTGATGAAGCCGAGACCCAAGGTCGGCAGAGCATCCCAGACCATGCCACCACTCCCCTTATTCATGGCTCACACATGACGGGTTTACGTGGCTCTCGTAAAAAAATAAAATATAAACACACGCCAGAACACTAGTGTGAACATGCCAAGCACATGGCGATTGACCACTACACTACCTTTGAGAATCTTCAACTGAGGGTTTCTTGTATTTTGTATCAATGCTATATTTGTATGCACAGCTTGAACAACTGCTGCAGGCAATACCGTCCGTGTCTGTTGAGTTGCCATCTGTAAAAGTTACGCAGTTCAGGTAAGTTGTCAGATGGTTCAGTGAGACACGTTGTGTCATGTATGAATATCCACGATGGCATGCAATTCCCCCTATACATGTATAGGCAGACCTCTGTAATGCAATGTGGTATCACCCAGTTGGCAGATTCTCGCATTAGAGAAGTTGTATTGTTCTCGGCCGGCGAGAAATCATTTCGGTTGCAAATATGGCATCTGGCGTGTTCACATCTGGCTGCGGCCAACCACACTTCATTTATTTGTGTTTTGTCGCTATTGCTGTGTATGTCTCTGTGTGTGCCAGTATATGTGGAGTGTGTCCCATATGGTGCAGTGGTATGTGCAGCGATTTCCAATCGATAGGTTGCGGGTTCGATTCCCGTTGATTATGGTCACACACGTCTTTCTTCTCTTTCTCAGACTCCTCCTGACTTTTCTTTCATTCTCCTGGGTGGTTACCAACAGCCAGTGCATGCCGGAGTATGTGGTGTGATGTGTGTGCGTGAAAAAAATGAAAAAGACCAAAAAGTAGGGATTCACTGGCCAAAAAAGCCACTTCATAGCTGTGTGGTGTAGACCAGGCTGAATAGTGGCGGTCAATTCTTCAGCCTTGCAAGCTGTTGAATGGTGCAATCCCAGCACAAGCTGCTATGGCTTCTGCTATAGCATCGCTATCATCGCCTCCGGCGATGGGCGTCAAATGGTCAATATGTGGAGTGAGAAGATGCTGGGTCACTAAATACGCCCACATATGAGGTGGTTGGTATCAGTCTAAATATTTTCGCTTCGCCAATACCAGTTGCAATGTATGGATGATCGGTCTAAGTTAATTATATTATGTTGATTTGTATCCTCTCCTTGTCCAGTCCGAATGGAGTTGCTCTGCAAAACCTGGTCTTTGTGGAAATGGATGTGCGGATGCCCAGTAGTTCCGTATCTGCATTGCCAGCGAATGGTTCTTTCGCTAACCGCCTTCGCCTGTATCTTGTCACAGAAATCCAGGCTGGACGAAGCTCGCCTGCTACACTTGATGCTACTTCAGTGTCTGTGCTCAGCTATGGTGAGTGATGGTGCCTGCAAGCTTGCAAAGTGATGGTACCAGGAATGGGTGTGCTGCGAGTTGCGTGATATTATGGCGTGTGCGTGCTTGGCGCGCATGCTGGTGTGCGTTCGTGTACGTGTGCATATGGACATGGCAATGGGGCTGAAAAGGTATTCTGTGTGTTTGTTGGGGGGGGGAGGGGACTACACCGACATGGGCATGGCTGTAGCAAGCCTTAAAATGAAGATGGTCGACTACAGGAGAGTGTACTGTGAAGCTTGCTGAGGATCAATTGGCGGTGGCAGATATCCTGACCACTGCTGGCTTGATGTTTGAAGATGTGTGTGTGTGTGTGCGTGTGTTCTTTTTTCTTCTCTTTCTCAAGATGTATGCCCAGCTGATGTCACTACTGATCTCCGGGGCAGTGTAGTCTGGCCAGAGACAGTTCGGGGAACAACAAGTGTGCAAGCATGCGGTATCGTGGTGGAGAATGAGGCACCACAGTTTGCCAGGCGTATGTGCTTTTCCAGTCCCCGCACCAGTCTCCCAAACACTGGGTTCTTCATGTCTACATGGGCCATGGCTAACACCAGTGACTGTCCATTCGCTTCAGCCAGCACTAGAGAACTACAGATGATTTCATCCGTGAGTAAAACAAGGACTTGGCGAACATAGAATGCATGAGTAATCTATGTGAGTGCGCCAAGATCAGCATTGCAATGTTCCCCCCCCCCCCCACACACACACATACACACACACACACACACACACACACACACACACACACACATACACAAAGCCATGCCTAGGTGGTTGTGTACGGTGTTGGTTGTACAAATCACGTCATTGTGCAACAGGTCGATATCTGTTAGGCACTGAGGGTGGGTTTGTGGCAGCGGGGAGAGGGGTGGGGAGGGAAAGGGGTGCTATGCATAATGGGACAGAGCCGCTACTCAGACAGGTTAAAGCTGCATCCTTCCTTCCAGCTGTTGCAATGACATCATCATGCCATTTTGATGTCATCAGAAAGCCTCACCGCTCATGGTTTG